CATTGAAATGTAGTCATATGGTCTCACCCCCATCTGTTTGTTTAATATCCAATTGACTTAAAAAAAAACTATGCACATTGTTTATGGTCATGAGATGAAGAAACCTATTGATTTTCAGCGATTTCCGATAATTACCTTGTGGACGCTCAAGAGGCTAAATATAAATGACATATACTATTCAAAAAAAGTAGGGGATATTTGATTTTGGGGGCATAATACTAAAATATGCAAATGACTACGAAAAAAGTCACTATAGAACCTAACAGAAGAAACATTTCCAGTTACATGTGACGCCCAAACGCACCAATAGCTACCGCATGGAATGCAGGTGATGCTTGGGATCATCATGGGGGTCCAACCCAAGATTTGCACGACTCTGACTTTGAATGTTACAGTCATTGTGGCATTGAATTCCAGGGTGGAAACATCAGTTTAATTGTTTTAGTGACCAGAAAACAAATTTTGATATGCGTCGGCTTACCCAAAATGAAAGGTTACGTGCCCTTGGCATGCTACAGATCGGCACAACACAGGCGGTTGTGGCGCGGACGATGAATGTTTCTCAGTCTGTCATAAGCAGGCTATGGTCCAGATACCGTGATACACAATCTGTACAGGACAGACCACGCTCAGGTCGACCAAGGGCGACAACTCAAGCCCAGGATCGATTTATCCGTACCTTGGCCTTGAGAAATCGTGTCATCACAGCAAATCAGATCAGCGCTCGTCTTCAAACAGACACTGGTGTGAGAGTGAGTGGCCAGACGATTCGGAATCGACTGCATAGGGGTCACCTTCGCGCCCGACGTCCTCGGGTGATCCCTTGTTTGAGAGATCATCACATTCAGGCAAGACGTCGTTGGTGTAGGGATCGTCAACACTGGGATAATCGACGCTGGAGCAATGTGATGTTTTCAGATGAGTCAAGGTTCACTGTTGATTTTTTGGACAGACGTAGGAGGGTGTGGCGTCGTCGAAACGAGCGCTTCCAAGACGTTAACGTCATCAGACATGATCGATTTGGGGGTGGTTCTGTTATGGTGTGGGGAGGCATCACTGTTGCAGGGCGTGTTACAGGCCAGTACTACCGGGACAACATCTTGGCAGTCCATGTTGTGCCGTTCGCACGACGTCATGGCTGCCGTTTCATCTACCAGGATGACAACGCAAGATGTCACAGGGCCAGGATCGTTACAGATTACCTCCAACAACAGAACATCACCACATTACCTTGGCCAGCACTGAGTCCCAATCCTCTCCCCCATCGAGCATGTCTGGGACATGCTTGGACAGAGGTTACGTCAACGTCAACAACGTCCTGCCAATGTCCAAGAACTTGCTGCTGCGTTGCAACAGGAATGGGACAATCTGGACCAAAATGACCTTAGACGTCTCATTAGGAGTATGCCACGTCGGATCAATGCTTGTTTGGCAAACAGAGGAGGATTTACCCGTTACTGACTTGGTTGTGATGCTGTGGTAACTTTGCTGTTTGACCCCGGGTATCATTTTACCCTTATAATGGTCAGTCTGTGCCTTACTTAGTCTAACGATCATTTGGAATAAATCGATGAATGTGAACTTCATTTCATTTTGTCATTTGTTTCTTCGTCAGTTTCATTAGGTGACTTTAATAACACTTAAAAATCAAATATCCCCTACTTTTTTTGAATAGTATATATCAATTTCAAAACAGTCAGATGATAAATGTAGTCTGAGAGTTGTTCACATAACATTGTAGACCAGGCCCCGAGTTCACAAAGCATTCTCAGACTCAAGTTAAGAATTTACTCAACTTTCAATCACTGTTTATGAGAAATAACTTTCATCCAAAAACATAAAACATAGCACATAGTTTCTTATTGATGTACTTGATACATTAAAACAACAAAAGTTTCATAAAGGGCTATATTTTAGTTAAAATAAGGTGAACAATTTTGAGTAAATTCTTAACTTAAGTCTGAGAAAGCTTTGTGAACTTGGGGCCAGGACGGATGGGAGCAACGGCTAAATGTAACTGTACTGTATTAGGTCACATCCTGAATTTAATTGAGTTATAACAGTAGGTTGTGGGTTTCCCTGTATTCAGTCTTAAGACCAACTAGAAATCAGCCGGATTTCTTCAAGTTTGGGAATGTGACCTCAAAGATTTGTTGAAGAGAATCCTGTCATCAACCTCTCAAAGACAATAAATAGTAGCCCAATTATTATCTATTCAGATGGTGTATTGTATAAGTGTCATATTACACTGCTCTATATTTAGAATGTAACACTAAAGCTAGATGGGTTTGGAATCAGATTCTATGAAATTTGAATAAGAGAATAAGAAAAACTAATCAAATTAAACACAGAATTAAACAAATTTAATAACAATTTAATAAAATTTAAAAAAATTGATTCAAATATTACATAATGTAATAATAAGCTTATTAATTTGATGTAATATCTACAGCAGCTTGTCTAAGCCAGGGTATAAAATATCTTACATTATTTTACTCATATACTTTGATATTGACCAATTTGATGTTAACCAATTAAATGATTTTGGAACTTTTTCTTGGGGAGATAAATATTCACAAGTAAAACAAGGGTTGTTGAGCACATTACGATTGTATAACTCTTGCCAATTATATATTGATTTCTATAGAAAGGGGCCAATATCGAAATATTAATGGCCTATTGATCATCGTACACTACTATTTACGAACTTATCAATAATCAGTAAAAGAAAATTTGATCCAAAATTATCTATTTTGGTGCAAAAATATGAACATTTACTGATTATTTACATACAGGGAAAAGGTCACCCCAAAACAATCTACATGTATTTGTTATTTAAAAGAGCTAACTCGCTAATATTTAGGACCTAGAAATTGACACAAATGGTTCGCAACACAAATAATAATGTAATATGAATGTACATAAACTGATTTAGTATTTATTGCGCATGCTCTCCAGATAGGAATATGACGTAACCGTTTGAGTTACTTGTGGAATATATCTAGCCCCGTCCTTCTAGTCCCTTGTTATAAATGGCACTTAAAGGCATTCGTGAACCGATGGTAAAATGTTTATTTTGTCTTACAATCTTATGGAAGCCTATAACTACCATTTATAATTTCTACTTTTCGCCCCTTCAAAACACGAAAGTCGAAAAGTGACCTTGAAAGTAGAGACTACATCAACTTCTGAGGCGAAAAGACAACAGTACGACAGCAAGCCAAAATCAAAGGTCGCTAATATCGCCATCAATACTAGACTTTATAAACTATTTTGTTAACGCGAATTTATTGTCAATGTCAACAAAACAGTACACCTTTAATAATGTATTATAACAATATTACTTATATTCTCTGTCACCACAGAGAAAGTGCATCCAGATTTTCCGGCGTGGTTCTCCCTTGTCAGTGATGCAGGACGGAGGGGCTGACAAGGAAAGCTGTCTAGTCGTTCGGATGGGACGAAAAACAGAGGTCCCGTGTACACATTGGCGTGCACGTAAAAGATCCCTTGGCAGTTGGAATTCGATATAAGAGTAGGCCGTAGTGCCGCTGTCCGGGCAAAATTTCCCTTATAGCACACTGTATGGCGTATGCCCGGCTTCATTAGCCCAGGTTAGGAGCAGAACAGTAGGACGTTAAAACTCCATTTCATTTCATTTCATTTCTGTCACCACAGAGTTCTTGATGTGGAAATTTACACGGAAATATTTATTTATGGCTAGGGATATGATATCATATCAGTCTTATCTAAATTAGATCCTGCTTCTTATCTAAATTATATCCTGGTTATATATATTATATCCAGGATATATATAATATATATAACCAGGATATAATTTAGATAAGAAAGATATGATATCATATCCCTAGCCATAAATAAATATTTCCGTGTAAATTTCAACATCAAGAACTCGTAGTATTATTCTTACAATTTCTCGTACAATAGGGGCCACAAGGCAAGAAGTTAGGCCCGATATACGCGAACATCAAACCGAGATCTTTGATACATAAACATATAATATTAAGTTTTTTTCAAAACCGGATACAAATTGTTAGAGGGACCACAGCCTTCGATCCGATTATCACAAAATTCAAACCCAGGGTGTAACGGTGTATATTTAAACGGTTTTTAAAATCGGGTATAAACTGTAATTTTTGGTACACCCGGGGTCCATAATCTAGGAGGTTACAGACCGATATGTGCGAATATGGAAAGAAACAAAAATCCGTGGAATATAGACATATATTTTAAGTTTGATCAAAATAGGATAAAAAAATTGTGACTTCTACAGTGTCCACAACCTTGGTATTATATACTTTTATACTATTTGCGAACGAGGAGCGGGCAGTTTCAATCCGATTTTCATGAAATTCGAACTCAACCATCATAAGGGTGGAATGGTGATATGTTAGAACAGCTTTTAATATTGGATAAAATGCCAATATCAAAAGGAACCGCGTGTCCACAAATAAATTGTGGACTGACAGGGTCGACTCAATACACGTCCACTTGAAAATATGGGCGTACAAAAATAGCTCAGCATGATAAAACTTGGTTTTTGGAAGACTAAACAACTGATTTCAAAGACTTTATATGAAATGAGATTTTTATTTTAGAAATTAAAATGTTAAGTTATTTGATACTCCCACTGGCAGGTTAATAGTTGTCAACGCTTATGTAATTTATATTAGGGCAATACTACTCAAGACGGACATGTTGTTTAGATCAGCATACCAAGCAATTAAAATCAGTGAACCGGACCAAACCCAAACATCCAAAATTTAGCACTTTTTTCTAGATAGTCCTAGCACTGTATTATGTACTTTCCCCCTCGAATTTACTGGTAAAACAATTTTTGTCCTTGCTAATTATGTGAATGAATTGTTGTTCAGTACAGTTCTTAAAATTGGCTGGAATTGTTCTAAGCCAGAATTCTATTGAAATTCTTTGATTGCAGATTGCCTGTATTTTGTATCTTTTATGTTTATATATTTCAGTTCTATAAGAACAGAGAAATTAAAAATATTAGATAAAGAGAAATTTGAAGATCTAAAGATTCGGTATGGTGCTGATTTACCGGACCAACTTTATTTTAACAAAGGATTGTAAAATATGTCAGGAACATGTAAAAGTATTATCTTATAATGATGGGTTATTTTTTTTTAGGTCCCAATTTTGTGACTGGTCCCTTCCCCCATAAACAATAAAGAAGAAAAAAAATGATTTCTGTGTGGTATTATAGTGGACAGTGAGACATTAAGTGATACTGTTATTTCAATATATTACACAATGCCTCGCTGAAGACCATTAAACAACTTAAAATACAGACAATATCCTGTACCTATGCGCAAGTTGAATATTCATCTAGTATTAAATAATGTATGACTGTCAGGTTGCCAGTGCCTTTATTTGAAATAATGGTATGCCAGCATCAAAGGATGGTGTTACATTTGTATTTTAAAAAAAAAACATTATAAAATTGGTCGCTTCAGGACATATTTTCCTTAGCCCCGTAGTCTTCTAAATTTTTAACAATGCATCTGTGCATCTTAATTGATCCTGTATACTGTTCAGAAGTCAAAGAGAAGATAGGAATATTAAAGGGTTGAGTTTCCATTAGACCAAGCTGGAAGTTTGGAAAACTACTTTATATTTTACTATGAACCTAGTATCATTTGCGGATAATATGATGCTTTTGGTTTGAAGTTTCATGTTGGTATGTCCTTGAAATCATATTTAAAAAGTAACCACTGTATGTTAACATTTATTTATATCAGGGTTAGAATTGAAGTCTCTGTCCACTATTAGATATAACTATCCAATCTGACAGTTACAAACATAAAAAGAAGTTGATTTATCAATGTAATAACATTTTCTACATTAATAATTATTTTAATATGCGGTAAGAGAGAGAGAGAGAGAGAAATGGGGTTTAACGTCCACTCGACACAAACTAGGTCATTTCGGGACTAACATGGTTTTAATTTTATTTCAATAATTCGCTTACGCGTAGGGGTCTTTAGCAGTGGGAGGAAACCGGAGGACCCGGAGAAAACCCATGAGGTTGGACAGGCGACCCTACTCCTTGTCACGTACAACCGGGAATTCGAAACCACGCCAGTCGACTCAATGACAGACTTTACGATACAGCGCGCGCACGCTAACCATTCAGAATATGCGGTAAATGTACTGAATATAGTTTATATTGCAGAGGCATTGGCTCTTTCAACAATTGGACGGTCAGTGTTCAAATTAGATGGTATGGAAAATTTTAGACAAATTTGTAAAGCCATAGCTATACATTTTTTAATTTACAAATATTCTATGGGGTCCTTACAAGGAGTTTAACAAAGACTTGTAAAGAATATCGTACTGCGAGTAAGGTCATGTCAGGGGTCATACGAGTGGCTTTTGACCCTATGATTGATTAATCAATCAGCATTGGCATTTCTAGTGGTTTACCCACAGTTCCGTGCATCATACGCCAAGAAGTCGCCATGACAGATGGTTTCATTGGCTTATCCCTTACGCTATCCAGAACGCAGGTTATATAACAACTCTTCCAGATCCTTGTGTAGTACAGACAGACAAATAAAACAAAATTTTGAACTATAATCAGATTGCAGTAATTATCGAAAATAGTTGATCAATTTAAAGTCAATCAGATATTAACTTTAGCATTTATAGTGTCCACAAGATATTTCACAAAGTGATCATAGGCCATAACTCTGGCATCTGAAGGAAATGATTAATATATGAATTTATAATAGAACTTTAATGTTTTACTGGAGAAAATTGTTAAATTAATGGATTTAAAATTGACAAATTCACTAGAGTAATAGGTTAATTATTCACAGGTTCATACTATACATGTTGTATTATGTGTTGAATTTTGAATTTAATTAAACCTAGAGCTGGATATTTTTTCTATTAGTTATGATTATTTGGACTTTTGAATTAAATTGTAGTTATATCTAATTTTACTTGTTTATGTAAATATTATATACTGGTGCAATCAATTATGAGAGAGTTTATTTCTTGAGATTATATTTTTAAGATAACACTAATGTTTTTATAATAAAGATAAGGTATCTTGTTAATTTCATATCTTGTACATTTATTATACATACTGAAAAACTAAAAAGTTATTAGAATATATTAATAAAATTAATTGGATTAAAGGGACAATAACACTCTTGCTGGCTTGACAGATATGTCCTACCTGTTGTGTAAATAATCCATTAAATCCTATTTTACTTGTCCAGAGGGTTCAAAAATATTTTTAAATCCAAGCCGCATTTGAAAAGCTTTACGTCAGGCTTTTCAAATCATTTAGTTGAATTTTTCCAATTTTTTAAATTAGGTGTGATAGATAAAATTTGTATCATCAATTAATTGGAATATTGTAAAATAGTACAATTTGTTGACCAGAATAAAGATTGGGACATATTATTCAGTTACAACAAGAGTGGTATTGACCCTTTAATAGGATTTTAATATAGCCTTTTGATTGTGTTTATTGCAATTATAAATTGGAAAAAAGTGATGATCACCAGCCAACAGAATTTAAAGTTATGATCTAAGGCACATTCGTTAGACCACTCGACCACCCAACCCCTGTGAACTAATGAAATTCCAAGGTTAAGGTTAGTGATTTAATGTAACTGACCTGGAGGGCATGTTGGCTTTTTAAACCTACCCTGGATTATTAACATCTGACAGCAGTGCACACTGGTCATATTGTGTAGTAATTATTAATTTCACCAAAATCACAGCAATCGGTATATATAAGAAAATTTCTTATTGAATGGTGATATTTTATATTTTATTATTTATTTACATTGACTGGACCATTACAGACATAACAAACCATACAAAACATTACTTAAAGCCAGTACACATGTATCAATAATACATTTCACTATTCCTTCAACATGAAATTTTACAGCTATATAACATCCAACATGTCATAAAAGGTATTCTTTTACATCTTCACTCTCCATAAATATTATGATAAAAAGTTCCCTACATCCTAATTCTTATATCACAAAACACATATTATATATATTTTTATATTATTAATCATTACGAATAATCAGTAATAACATATCATTTTTACAAATGTAACCTTGAATGAGAAATAAACAACACTTTGTTCACAAGGAACTAGAAATCTGATCACAATACAAACATTTAAGAAAGTCATCGCCCGAAACCAGGTGAATTTAATACTTATAACCCTCATAAAGTCAAAATAAACAGGTATCATTAAAACAACCAACTACTTTCATTTAAACCTAAACAATAACAGCTTCTGATCCAATCATATATATTGCAATATATGAAACTTGGGTAATATTTTGTATTTTATCAAAGTGCATTTTTAGTCTCTTTGTTTAAATTCCAGGAACACTTTTGGAATAGTTTGGTGTAAAACCAAAACCTTTTCATTTATTCCAATTATTTCATTCTAACATTTTTTTTTAGAAAATTTATACGATTCATGTGCAAGATCATAATCAGCTTTTTTTTGCGAAATATGTGAGCAGTTCAAATTGAATGGCAGTTGCTAATGCCTGGTTAGTCAAGACTACTGGATTTTGCCTCGTTCTTCAAGGCACCTCATCACAAATGGTGCTCAAGAGCATCAAATTCATGTAGAAGACTCTGGCTAATACCGAGTTAAAGTTGATCAATTTGACCGACTTGCAAACTGTTCAGATCTACATGGAGTGAAGGCCATTGAAAGTATAAAATAACCCTGAAATTTTGATTTTGTATCTCAATAAGATTATTATATTCTACTACAAAACGGGTGATGTTGGTTATGTAGATATGATAAATAAATAATTGAATATCATGAGATTATGGAATGGCATATTATTATTATTAGTTATTAATTAAAATAAACATGTAGTAATAAACAAACGTGTTATGTAGAATGTTGATACAAGACCTCTTATTTCAAAATATTACTAGCCAGTCAATTTTTTGTGGAATTTGTTCATTAGCCAGGAACTGTTTTGCAAAGAACACAGCAACCTTTGAATGACTATTTTTTAGCATCATTGCTGTTTATAAATCATATGTTTAACAAATAATAAATAAAAATGCAATTATTGTGTTCATGATTAAATTCTTCGAAATACCTCATATCATGTAAATTCACTGACAGGTTAATTCTCCAGCTGATCAATTTCACTGGCAGTAAGCTAAGACTGGCAAATGTAACTGAAACAACAGCCCTGCTTCAAATATAAATCAATCCACCAATATCCCATTTAGAGACACAATCCAATCTATATAAACATGAATTCAATCTGTACACAGTTTTTATCAGATATTTACCTATACTTTCTTTATACATTTTCAAACATTACACATTCATTTAAATGTAAATATGTTAGTGTTAATTAATATGAAATTATATTATGAATATATATAAGCTCCAAGTTAAATAATGTGTAATAAATATGTAACTATCCCTTTGCATATTAAATTTATTATATTTCAATATAAATATCATAATTTCTTCAGAAATGTTGGCTTTTGGAATTATTAACATAAACGACTGGTTAGCAGGTTATAATTTCTTGAAACAAAAGGAATTTTGAATAGAGAGAGAGACAAGCCTCATAACAATAACATACATGTATGAAAAAAAGAATCGATCAACAACAATTAGTTTTGTAACAACAAGTGGGTAGTTATCAAACAAGTGCACATTATAGCTATACACACACTATCTACAATATTTCATTTTTTCTATAACTTAATGAATTATCTCCCTTGTTTTCTATTTTGCCGGTCGGTACATTTATAATAGATTATGCAGTGAATAATATTAAATAAGTTTACTACAGATATTTATAGCACATTATAATATATATATATATATAATATACAAGTATAAACATAAACACTAACTCATACAATTCAATAACTTTCTAATAAGAGATAGATTACATTTGGGGTTAAAAAACATATATTTACAAAACACCTGAATGGATATATCCTGACCTTTTATATATTTTTAAACCAACCCTGTTACAACATAGTCTTCCAAGTAACATTCTATTTTAGCTTGATACCAAAACGGGCCCATACTGCTTCACTTTTGAAAAGACCACAAAGCTCTTTAATTGTATACTATCTACTGATTGCATAAGAGTCTTGTAATGTCAGTGCTGAGTTTAAGAGACAGAGTAACATTACTCTTACTATGTGTCATGTATACTCAATTATTTTGGGACTTTTTTCTGGCAAAGTCCAAATACTATTACACTACTTTGTCCATTTTTAATTATGGGCTTTAAATCTGAATGTTCTTCAGGATTGCTAGAACCATGTTTTATTTTATTCAAGCAACACATCATAATTTTTTCAACAGTTGTCAAATGACTCTTCAGAACATGCTTAATCATATTAAATGTGAGAGGTGGGGTTATAATATTAATAGATATAAGTATTATATAAAATTACAACATTATATGTATTTTTTGATTTAAAACCAGCAATACCAAGAGAGGTTTTCAGTATATACAAACATATAATCCAAATAGCAAAATCCTAGAAAAATGATTCTGGATATTGGGTGATGTCACATCACTGAATTTTTCTGACAATTGCTGTTCCTTGACTGCAGCTCAGTGGCAAATACATTTCCTTGTATACTGGGTGGCATAACTTTTCAGTGATATTGGGGTCACTACATAAAAGACATGGAAGTTAAGCTTATGCCATCAAAATATAATCAAGATGGACTAAATAATTTAACCTTGTATAAAATATACAATATGGTGTAAGTTATTGGTAACCTGAGTGTCGTCTTACAGCCCTATAAACCTATACCAGGGTTCTTGTTTTACAATTTTACCATAATTTTGAAGCAATGGTAACATTATCAAAAGACTAATCTAAATATTTGATACATTCTCTGGTGTTTTGCATCATTTACTTCATAAAGACTGTACCATCCTAGCAGAAACATCAATCAATCAATAATATCAATTATTGGTTTTTATAGGATTGTCCTAATCGTGTCCTGTGTACATCAAGCTCAATTACCAAATGTCTCATTTCCAATTGAACTAAAATAACTGAGATAAAAACCCTGGAAAATTCATAAAAGGGGTAACACACCAGGTAGTACACAAAAAGCCTATTTTGAAAAATTAAAAGATGTACTTTTTCAGTTGAGGACAATGAGGTGATAAAAGTAAAATAATGGCCATAGCAAAATATATTTTGAACTAATGTCTTTAGTTCAAGTACTGGTACTTGTGATAAGTATTGCTTTATGACTCTTATTCCAGTATGTTACCCCCTTATATAAGGATACTTATATAACTACAACTATAATATAACTACAACTACTGGCTAGATGGACCACCCAGATAAATCGCGTGTCACATTATTCATGTTCACCTTTTATCCACAACAAATTTACATCATCCGTGGATTATAAATTCGGATTGGAGAGGAGTGTTTCTGGTGTTCTATTAAAAGACTATGCAAACTTCACCCTACTATCAAATTATTTACACTAAAAAAAAAATTCTCATAACATCAGTTAATATGCATAAAACAACACATAGACACATCAAGTACATACATCACATTCTAATATACAATTGGTACTACTTGATTACATTGTGTATGGTAAGCGTTGCCTGCTGATTATGCTTATTCAACCACTGAAATCTAAGTTCTTATTGACATGTTGTACTAGATGATTGCTAATCACGTACAACTTACTGTAATGTGTTTTTTCTTCTCGACTGCATACCAATACAACAGAAATGTTTTGAGATCTTTTTGATTATGTTGTGATTATAATAATGTGCTTTAAACACCAGCAACTGTTCAGATAAATATGCATAACAACGTTTTCACTTGCAATAGGTTAACAGGTTAAATATCATCAGGTTAAATGATTATAACTGATATTGGTTAAAAAAAAAAGTGATCAAAAACTGAACTGATAACGGGTAATACCACTAGATGATTGACCAATAATTGGTCTCTCTTGTCAGAACAATATTATGCTGTAAAATATCCAATTAGTCTGTTTTAGTGCGTGCGTTCTTTATCAGAATCCATTCGTGACATGCTTTTCACCAAAGAACAATATCTAGCTTGCAGTCTATAGTAAAAAGCTTATACAGAATTTTAACAAGAATACATTCAAAATTCGTTACAGTGGGTTGTGGAATTTATCATGTCACATGTGTTTAACAGAAAGTTTAGGATACACAACAAGAGTTATCTAACCCTCCTTAACATCTTTTAGGTCCTTTTTTGTCTGAGCAACTTCTCGTATTGAATTTATTGTTTTATTAAACCATGTATTTTTGGAGGCTTGGATTTCTGTGATGGCTGAGTTGAGTTGATGCGTAAGATCCTGTGTTTTGCACTCAGACTCGACCAGCGCTAATTTCGTCTGTGCCAGCTCCAGTTCTAATTCTCGGACCTGTCGTTTTAAATCAATGATGATGGGGTTTTGATCGGCAGGGTTTATAATGGGATCAGGTAGCTTCACTTTACCATCTTTATCAATCAACTTAGAACAATCATCACAAGCTTTTACTGTCACCTGAAATTATTGATATTTTTATAATATTTAGAATTATAATGGGTAAAGAAATCGTATGTGGTTAACTCTGAACAATAACTAGGGAATACTTGACTGAATGTTCCCGGAACTGAATTCTCTTAATCCCTCATAAGGTGTCAATCGAGTAAACAAATATTTCGGGCAACCATTTAATTCTGCAACGTTAATCAAGGGTTCCCATGGTACATCAGGTCGCTTTCAATCCAATTTAATTTTGTGAGGCTTTTTATTATATACACAAAGAAAAGAGTTAAGCACTCTATGTATTTTTCACAATGACTTGTCCTACAAGGTTTGGTGGTTTGCAAGAACAGATCTTTGACGATAAGAAAAGATATAGAGCTTATCCAGTTTTGAGATTTTAATCATGATTTTGAAAATAATTCCAAGATGCTGTATTTGAGCCAAAAAAGGAGTCACAATAAGTATGACATTGATGAAACAAATCATCAATAGTGGGTAAACCTGCCACATGCCCGGATGACAGATTCCATCCGCCGTCTCATCCCTCCAGTAAATCGCCTGATCTGCTAATGGAGAACTGCTGCCATTTCGATGAAGAAATGCCTACAATTTTGTCAAAGTGTGTACATGCCTGTACTCGACGCCCCAAGATGTCCCAAACATGCTTTAGTGGATTATGGTCAGAACCTATTGCAGATCAAGCATGGTTGATTCTGCTATTGATAATTTGTGTCATTAACATCATCTGTGGAATCTAAATGAAATTTTACATCTTCAATGTCGGATGTAAACAATGCACATGCTGAGACCATACAGAGTTAAAAGAAGGCTTTTGCATTCCACTGTGGAACGGATTGACAGAAATCATGTTGGAAATACATTATTCTATTTACCCTGATTCTTTGTAATTCTTCTTTTGCTGCTGTTTGCTGTTTCTCTAATCTTTCACTCAACTGAGAACAAATCTGATAAAAAAAATTATACAAAATTAAACACATCTAATATGCATAATCAGAGAGCGATATTCGTGACTTGAGAGAGAGAAATGGGATTTAACGTCCACTCGACACAAACTAGGTCATTTCGGGACTAACATATGGTTTAATTTTATTTACATAATTCGCTTGCGCGTAGGGGTCTTTAGCAGTGGGAGGAAACCGGAGGACCCGGAGAAAACCCACGAGGTTGGACAGGCGACCCTACTCCTTGCCACGTACAACCGGGGATTTGAAACCACGCCAGTCGACTCAATGACAGACTTTATGATACAGCGCGCGTATTCGTGACTTGACAAGCACAGATCAGTAACAAAAAGATCACTTCAAGAGCTAAGAGTAAGATGTCAAAAATCATATGCTTCTTAAGATTAACAAGTCAATAGTGAAATAAATAAATCATACTCATTAACCTATTGCATATTTATCTTTTTAGAAGCATCAAGCAATGAAATTGCTGCTTAATCGTAGCAAAATTTCTCATTACCAAACTTTAAGATGAATTATGTAAGATTTAGATAAAGAGCTAGCCATTCTTTCTATATTAGTTCAAAAATAGATAATGCATAATGCCTGTTTAACTCATGGTATTGTTGTACTGAAACTAGACTCTCTCTCACTCGGAATCAAAATTATCGTGTTCTAAAGCCTCAACAAACCAACTTGCTTAGTCTAACCAGGGATAAATTATGCAATATCTTTATAAATCACATACATACATACCTGTTTATAATCTGCTATTATTAAAGTATTTCTACTTCCTTCAGCTTCTGCTCTGTCTAATTCTCTTCTACACATCTCTTTTAACTAGACAATATGCAAAATACATTTAAAACATTAGACATGAGTAGAATTTACATGTATATCTCTATACACCTTTGTCAGCATGGAATACACAAAAAATTATATATTGGACTAAGAAATAAAATATTAGTAGGGCTTATAATAATTATTTATTAATGACATATTCCTTTTTTGGCTATTTAAATAGCTTTTATTATCGAAATTTCTCACTTGGTTAAAGACAAATAAAGAGCTGAATTGGCTGTAGAAAAATCATTCCAGTAGCTCACACGCATTACGTGCTCAATAGAAAACACGCTGAGCTTGATAATTTTGAGTTGTAACATACTAACTCCAAAAATGAAGGTAAATATATACCGTTAATCATCCACGGCATATTTCTCACATTTATCGGTTTTAGACCATCTCTTACGGCATTACGGATAGCAGAATTGTGACGTAAATCCTAATAATCAATAACTAATGAACTAACGACAGACTAACTTCACAGCTAGCAAAACTAGCTATATATAGTTCCCTCAAGAATATTGATGTGCATAATAAGAGTAAACATATGCACTACATTTTTGCGACACATGAATTATCAATATTGCTATAACTGGAATACGTAATTTTCTTAATTTTTAGGTAGGCAAGTTTGCTAATCTCTAACTTTTATTTCTACAATTCCCACACATCCCCGGTGAGTTGAGGGGATGTGCCCACAAGGTCACAATACCACTGTAAAAAAAATTCTAATGCATTTTTTTCCCCAACACATTGAGAATTACGTAATTTCTATATACTGTTTTTATATAATACCACAGTTGGTTGGATTCGAAGAGCAGTACTTTAAATCTGATTGCTCTTTTTTCGAGGATCATAATAATCTTACACCGTTGTGACCGTAATAGAGGTAAAGCAGCTTTGTTCTAGAAAATTCTTATGACACTTGGACAATATGTGGGTGTTCAAATAGAGAATGACTAACATTGGACTGCTTCATTCATGCCATTGATAAGATTCCAGTTTAACAATTAACTTTTATTATTTTACTACAAGACATTCATCAGTAATTATCTACACAACACTGTATAATCTGTTGACAACTATTTATACACCTCTATAACACCAATCAAGAGATTATGTGGCTTCTATATGTGTGCAATATTCTGTACAGGTTGTACAATTTTATAGTTACATGGAGGAGGTCTATCGTAGCCATGTTTGAAAATTGGGTTTTTGCAAAATACACTATTTTTCCGGCATGCAAAATGCCCGATGGGTCAAATCTAGTTTCAGTCATTTTCTGTAGCCCTCGGTCTTAACCAGCATATACGGCCAACATGGACCCATGATGAATCTGTTCATCACTCTCCCTCAGCTACATGAACAGACAGACATATTAATAGTCACTAACACTCTTTTCATGGTCAGATATTATTGTACCAACGTTTCGAAGAGGTACTCTCTTCTTCTTCAAGGTAATATAAATAAAACATTTAAAAATAATCTCTAAGGGAACAGAAATGACGTCATAGAAAACTATCACATAGAGTGCTGGAACCAAAAGCTTGTGGAAAGGGGAAAGTACCAAAAAATGCTCAAAATATGTCTTAAAAGTACTGATGGGAAAGATGGTTTGAGGATTATTATTAATACCAGTAGGTTCAAGAGTTTTAAGAGTTCTAATCCAAAATGTTTCCTTTTTAAAAATCAATGAATGGTGGCATTATGGATCTGGTCAAAGGCTGTGACTCAGAGATGGTCTCTACTGTGGTTAGAGGAGTTGAAATGTCTGGCGATCGGGGAGTCTGTATGGTTGTTAATATCTGATCTATGTCCATATTTCCACTAGCATCTCGATTGCAATTCATGTAATATTATTTATTTGATTACTTGTACCAAATGCAATCAACAATACGTCGAAGAAACTGAACAAAAACTCAAAGAGCGGATTGCCAGACATTTCAACTCCCCTAACCACAATATAAACCATCTCCAAGTCACAGCCTTTGACCAGATCCATAATGCCATAACTCATTCACTTTTTCACATGCTTTTGGTTCCAGCACTCTAAGTGATAGTTCTCTATGGTGTCATTTCTGTTCCCTTAGAGATTATTTTTAAATGTTGTTTTATTTATATTAACTTGAAAAAGAAGAGAGTACCTCTTAGAAACGTTGGTTCAATATCTGACCATAAAAACAGTGAAGGACACTTTCATATCAGATCCTCCAATCCATTTTTTTCATATTCCTGTTTGACACTGATTCTATACAAGTTTTGTATTTATAGTCCATTGCTTTTTTTGAAAGATGAAGGAAAAGTAAATAATGACAGAATTTAACGACTGATTAGGTCCCAAAAATTAATTTCAATCGAGAAATTATTAATTATAAAAGTCAAACTTAAACTGAATCGTCGAATATGTCAACCTTTTAAATAGTATAGCATATTGTGAAATACCTTTCTATATAATTGTGAGGGGGTTTTAACGTCCACTCGACACAAACTATGTCATTTGGGGACTAACATATCGGGAAAAATTAGCTTGCACGGGGGGGGTCTTTAGCAGTTGGAGGAAACCGGTGGAGAATCGAAACCATGCCACCCAGAACCCCCCTACATAAATGCATATTTATCTTAGTAACTACTGAACAGATTTACTTCCTTTAACTTTCAAATTTCCAAAGAAATTGTTTTACTACCTGTGATGATTCATATTCTAATCTTCGTTTTTCTTCCTCTGTCTCTTTTAAAGCTTTTTTAGTAACCATTAGATCTTGTGTTAATATTTCATTTGTATCTTCAACCTGTTAAATTAATAACCAGAATTAAACACTACCACAATGTTTTCATTAAATCTTTTTATTTGTAGATTACTGTAAAATTCTCTCGATGTGACAGCTATATATTTTGGTAGTGATTGTTTGTGCTCTGCCAGAAAGGTATCCTGTATTTTCAAGCAGATCATGTTCTCTTTATTATAATTTAAGACAGAGAAATACTTTTTATCCGACTCTGAAACATCAATTTCAAGTCAAGTTAGCAGAAGATTCTATTCTAGATCAGTTAATATTAACAAATTAGTTTAGAAATTTACATAATAGCAGATGAGAAGCGTGTAGGTTGTAATAGTTGTATATGGGGATGCTCGATTGAACGTTCCGGGACTGAATTCTATCAAACCCAATAATAGTGACAATCAAGTGAAAATGGGAATTTGGGCTCAATCAACCATAACAGCAAACATATTTGCTCTGTTTAATTACATTATGATTCTACTCACACCACCTCAGTTGTCGGGACTAACAGAATTGTGACAGGACTGAATTCACATCACACGATTGCAATTTCATCAATTCGGAACATTCCAGACTGACAACTGAGCATTCTCTATATGAATATAGTTTTCATGATAATTTTTTGTAACTTGATTCTATTTATTCATATTGTAATTCTTTTATGCTATATTTCTTATCGAACAGAGGTTGGATAGGTAATCTATTTCATTGTACACCAAAAACAGTACAATTTACTTACACTATCTAATTCACTGCGTAAAGCCAGTTTACTTTCGACTAATTCATGAGCTAAATCATCATTCTCCTGTTCTAGTCTCATGTTAGCCTCTAATAATCTTTTATTCTCTCTCTGTAATTAGTAAAATAAATCATTTATCAAGAATTCATTTATTTACATCTATTTAAATGATTTCATTCGAAAAGAAATCAATCTAATCCAGGTCTTAAAAGAGTCTTCAAGCTGCAAAGACCACAATCAAGACTTTCTACATTTCTACAAAGCTATTGCTATCACTACCTGATCAGTTTTTTAACCAGACCTTACCATAACAAAATAAGAGAAGAGCAATGTACCACTCTCACAAGATTTTATTTGAAGGTGAGCATCTGATTAATTATCTTTAAAGTTCCTTTGTTAACAAAAGTTCTCCAGGAACCAAGCCAATGTTATTTTGTTCTTTGATTGGCATTTAGTAATTGAACATATTAACACCAGGTACAATTTTATGGATACACAATTACTAAGCAACGTTTCAAAGAGGATACTCTCGTCTTTATCAATCAAATGCTTTATCATTTGCTTGATAAAGACGAAAGTATCCTCGTCGAAATGTCGCTTAGTATTAAACTCAGTAATTGTGTATCCATAAAATTGTACCTTGTGTTAATGTTATTTTGATCTGATAGCACTACTCACCATAAGATTTCAATTCTTAATTTCTCTATTACAGTACTACATGCAGGATTAAAATGAATTATACATTTTGGAGCTTAATAGATGCCCATTTCACTGATTATGACACAAATGAAATGTATAATTCAAGAACAGAAATAGACTAATCAAAATATCTATATGAAAAGCCATTTATTAGAGGGATATTCTGGATTGCTTACCTCATATCTTTCTGTGGGGTCTTCTTCTTGTTCTTTCATGGTTATATATTCTTTCTCATATTTCTTTAATTTACGAGCAGTAACCTGGTAAAATGAATTAATGGTTAAATTTTCTATTCAACAATTGCATTCTTTGGCAAAACAGCACTTGCCAAAAACCATGGACCATATATAAGATGGACAAGCAGTTGGTTAAGGGTATATAAAATGCTATTTTCATGTTTTATCCAGATTTAAATGGGGCTATTATTCATTTCAACTTGCAGTGAATGTATTTTTTAAGGAAATAACATGACTAATTTATGTTCTTTTATATTTAATATTATACTTTAATATTATGGATTTGTAATACCACAGGGGCCGGTTTATCAATCGGCTTTTTCAAACATTAAATATTTATCAACCTTGCCACCTTAAACAAAGTTTCAAAAGGAATAGTCTGATGTGATGAAATAATATTAAGATAGGTTGCCAGGCAACGAAACATACGCCAACAACAGCTAAATCATCTGGGCAGTCAACAAGAGTTTTACTTTTTTCGGTAATGAAACATTTATAATACATTAAAATCTGATTAAAGATGGGTTCCCAGAAAAGTATTTATCGGGTGGTTATTTCCAATAAAAGTATGGTAATTTTGGTATATATAGAAAGTAGATAGAGATATCCAATCAGTATTTATCGGGTGGTTATTTCCAATAAAAGTATGGTAATTTTGGTATATATAGAAAGTAGATAGAGATATCCAATCTTACTAGAAAAATACTGGATTCCCAGAAAAACACTCATGGAGCGTATACAGAACAAAAATGTAAGGGTTCTCCCTAATCAACAGCCCGACGATTAGGAATTTCTGCATGCATGATGTCAAAGGTCACATGCGAACATTGAGCGCTTGATGTACAAGATGATGAACTTTATGAAGAGTTAGACATACAACACTTTCTGAGATAAAAATGACGAAAAAAGAGGCGGGTAGTGGATAATCCGGGATTTAATTAGGATTTGATATTTGTAATAAACAGTAAGCGATTAAAGACAACATCGTCTTATGTATGCAATGAATTCTCCTGACTTCCAAGAGAGGTAGGTCATGTGACGTAAACATGACCTGGTTTGATCGAATTTTTATAGCAGGACATTCCTTCGCAATTACAATGTTTGAGAAGGATTTGAAGCAAAGTTATGACTAATTAATTAGTTTGAATATGTTTTTAGTCCATATATACCATTGAATCACCCAGTTTGTACGCGGGAACCCATCTTTAAAAGCTATTATACTACTAATTTAGGCCTGTGTCACACCATCTTCCTGTATAGAACTTTATTAAATGTGAATAAATTTGTTAATGAAATTTGTTAACGTAACCAATATTTCAATTTGCATAACCAGGAAATCGGTTGTGTGTTTTTGAGCAGGCGTGACCGCACGTAACCGATTGGTATCGTTTGCGTGAAATTTTGTGTCATGTATCAGACAACAAGGACCGGAGGCCAGGGGTGCCAATTTTTTTTTTAGTCAAGATTGCCCATCGGGTATTAACTTTAGCCTCTAAAGCGTCCACAAGTTTTTTCAGTGATCAATGGTCATAACTTTGGCAGGAATTATCGGAAATCGTTGAAAATCAACAGGCTTCTTTGTCTCATGACCGTCAACACTGTGTATAAGTCAATCAGATATTAACTTTAGCCTCTACAGCATCCACAAGAAATTTCAAAGTGATCAAGGGCCATAACTTTGTTAGTAATTGTCTGAAATCGTAGAAAATCAATAGGCTTCTGTGTCTCATGACCTTAAACACTGTGCATAAATTCAAAGTCAATCAGATATTAACTTTAGCCTCCAAGCATCCACAAGTTTTTTTTAGAGTGATCAAGGGCCACAACTCTAGCAGTAATTATCGGAAATAGTTGAAAGTTAATTGGTTATTAACTCTAGAGCGGCCACAATTGCTTGTGGATGACGGACCAATGGGCGGCAAACAATATAAGACCACATTTCCATGTGGGCGTAACAAAAGCAAAATTTACCTTAGTTAAAATGGCTGTCTGTATCAATTCCGTCTCTGCCTCTTCAGATCGGAATCTTTTAGGTAGCTGAACACGGAAATATTTGAGAACACCCTCAAAATCCAGAGCTAGTAAATGTTTGCGAGAACACTTTAGTAGAGCGAGGGCAACATTAAATATCACGTCTTTACCCTGTAATAAATATTATATATAAAATACAAACTTCCTATGACTTCAAAAATGATGATTAAATCTCCTATCCTATGAAGCAGGGTATGTTTACTCTTTCTAGAACACCCAATACCACTTACTTCTGTGTTCAACCGAAGGAACACCAGAAATTGTCAAGGGAAACACCTGATATCACTTCTTAATTATTTGGAAAGCTTGTTTGTCCGATATTTTCATTGTACTTCATATTCTGTTACACACAAATTGGAATAAACATGTGATACACAGTAAGTTATTCCTAATCACACTTTCATAAAAGTGAATAAAATTTCTCGAAACAAACAGAAAAACTCATATTCATCCAAACCTCAACAACAGATAAAGGTAGTTTACTATGGTAACAAATAGTGTGATGAATATATGAATAAAATATAAATACTGGTTATATATATTGATTTAATTTGAACAGATGGTGGAGTGTTACTACTATCATTCTATATAAATATAACTTCTACTAAATATCAATATACACACATGTGGTATATATCACTATTACTTTATTTCATTCACACACTTAGCTGTTATCATAATATATCATATTCCAACTAATAAGCATATATATCATTTTAGGTGCATATCCATTCTTTTTATCACTTCAAATTTTGATAGGTATCCCTTTGATATTAAAATCGTAAAATGATGTTTGAAAACAAAAATTGCAGAATAAAAACATGGATAACTTTACACTGATTATGATTTTTACGCCATAAACACATACTGGGCCTGCTTGATTTGTCCGCCGATAGGCGAGCCGGTTTGTACAAGGCGTACGCCGGTCAGGTTACCGTATCAGAGCAAATCAAGTGACCCGGCTGATAATAAATTTGGCGTCGGATAATATTATAATATTAAACTGGTAACATGACATGTTTTAATAACGATAGTTTGCCAGGCAACGAAACATACGCCCACAGCAGCTAAAGCGTCCGTGCAGTCAACAAGAGTTGTCGCATATTTTTACTTTTTTCGGTAATGAAACATTTATAATACAATAAAATCTGATTAAAAGTAACAACATAATTAAGTAATTATCAAGTTCTGTCACATGCTAACGTTTAGAATACGAAACATTTAATATCATGGATTTAGCTGTTCAGTTATCAAAATTCATTGAAAAATATACTTGTTCGTCTCAAGATCTTAAATTCTGTGTATCAATCTGAAGTCAATCGGATGATAAATTTGGCCATAACGCTGGCAGTAATTATCGCTGAAAATCAATAGGCTTCTTTGTCTCATGACCTTAAACACTGTGTATAAATTTAAAGTCAATCGGATGTTAGCTTTGGCCTCTAGACGTCGGACCGATGGATGGACGGACGACAATATACGACCACATTTCAATGTGGGTGTGTAAATCAGTATTCATGAAAGCATTACTATAAGTAAGTGACCGCAAAATAATACAGAAAATGATTTGTAGTATTACTGAAAAAAAAAAATAAATAAATGACATATGAACATCTGGTTTTACGAAGCCTTAATTCAACTTTAAAGCATTTGGTTTAATTTTAACGCTTTAATATTCGTGTTTAATGACATTCCTAACTAACGTGAATTTTATCTCGTTGACATGTTCACCATCTTGCGCCGGTGATCGCCGCTGCCGACAAAGCGGCGCATTCGGCGTACGCCGCGGCCAAATTTTTGTCGACTTCCGGTTAAATCAAGTGACCTCACCGGGGAAACTGCCGAACTGTGGTCAGCCGGTATGTGCCGGTATGGATAAATCAAGCAGGGCCAATGGAATCAATGTAACCCACCATATCCTACGTAAAATACCAGGTGTGCCATAGAGAGCTTAAAATCCAGGCAAACGAAGATGGGCAAACACAAAGCAGTGTACACAGGATCTCAGTTTACATCCCATCCGAACGACTAGATGCTGTTCACCTCCAGGCCACACCACTGACAAGCGGAAACCATCCCGGAAAATCCAGAGGAACTTTGTCGGCCAACTCCAGGATCAAACACGGACTTCCAGGATAGCAAGTTAGCACCCACTCACTAAGCCACAGTGCCTTCCAACATCCACTGACACTATCCAAGTCATTTACATGTGGTATACCTTTATTTCCCTATTTAGCCTCTGCACAGAGGTCTTGAGAAGTTGTAGGCAACCACAGTACCTAAGAAGAATACAATCCTTGACACGTATTAACATGGTAACAACCTCAAGGCATAGACAAAGCCCACTCCCACATAAATTCAACAGTTTCATATCCTTTCTAATAGTTTATTTTTAACACGACCGGATCTACTGCCACACAAATCAAAATACAATATAAATGATATTTACCTCACTAAGATATAGATCTAGTATGTGAAATACAACATTAAGAGGAAATTTTGCTGTAAAAAGAGTGAGGAACCATTGAGAAGCAAACATATGAACTTCTAAACACATCTCAGCAAAATGACAAAACAGGTCAGGTATCTGGTCCTACAAAATATAGAATATTTCAATTACAAGTGTGTTACTAAATAAGGAAAAATTAAATAAACTTAAATGTTATACTAAATGTCCAAGTGTTAAATCAAAAATCTCAATGTATTTAAAGTAGCTAAGTCTCTAACCGAATATCACCCAAAGTCTTCGACATTGAAAACACAAATTATTTGTCAATTTAAATCAACATTGATGTTGTGGTCTTACAAGGAAAAGATGGGCTTCTGATATTCAATATTTAAGACAAAATAGCATTTCAGCGCTATTTGTAACAAGGGACTCAAAGAACGAGGCTAGATATATTCCATAAGTCATGTCAAACGGTGACAGTGACACCATATTCTTATCTGGAGAGCATGCGCAATAAATACTTTCGCTGTAGACTGGAATAACCAGACGCTAGAGACTGCCATTTGATTGAGACTTCCGGCGTATTTCGCCGAAAATAGCTGATTTGAAATTAGAGTAAAAACGGAAACGATTTAATGTAAATCAGTTTATATACATTCACATTACATTATTATAAGCGTTGCGACCCATTTGTGTCATTTCTAGGTCCCAAATATTAGTGATTTAGCTCCTTTAAATATGTTTCTATAAAATATTTCGCAAAGACTGCATTACAGGTAATCAGTCAGAAACAGGGCTGTCGGTGATTTTTCACTTGACTGCTAATCAAAAAGTCCCATTTTGCCAAATTTGATTAGCAAATTTAAAATCAATGATCAATATATATTTTTTTCTACAAAATTCTAGATAATTTATTGACTGCACCTGTATAAGTCGTTCCAACTGGTAAAATTTTAGATGAAGTTCTTCAAATCCTGGTTTAAACAAACTTCGTAAACCATAATCATACATGATCTTCACTAAAACACTGAATGCTTGTTCTTCGGGCATCTAGTAAATACATAATAAGATTGTTAAATATAAACTACTACTTCACCTACAATTGATGGATTCTTTCATCTTTGTGAACAGAAGACTTGCCAAGTTGTAAGGATTTAAGCTTGTCAAATTACTGAATTTACTGAGGTCTATATTATAGTGAGTAACATTGCCGCATCATTTATTTACAAAACATATGGTTGAAATAAAAAATGTCAAGTTTTAAAGAAACACTCTCACTTAACCATTAAGGAAATCAGGGGACATTCAAGCAAAAACAGAATGGTGTTAGGATTTTGATATTTAGGTGGCTCTGACATTATTTTTCATAATGATATTATATAGACTCAATTGCATTTATCTTCTTGTTATAAATGTAGCATCCACTCAAGTACTATACTTTCACTATAATACTAATTCTGGGGTCCACTCACTTACTACAACAAAGTCACACCCATTATCATACACTAACACACGACCCATTATCAGATCTGCATCTCATATAAATATTAGGACATTGAATTCATTAACAAACACAGGTTTAATAGGTTGTAAAAAAATAAAGAATAGTAAAGAAGAAGAAAAGATATTTTCTGTCTAAACCTACATGTAGAAGAAGAGCTGCAGCTAGAAAGGATAAACCTTGAACATAACTAATCTCTTCATCATAGACAGCATAAGCCTGAAATATTAGACAAAATACAATAAATGTCTTAATACCATGTACATAAAAACCTTTGGGACTACACTGGTTACTTTGTAATTAAAGATGGAAAGTGGCACTGTGGATTCAATCATAATTGACAAGTAATATCTATAAACTATTAAAGCAGTAAAAACTCTACTGTTAAAGATTCTGAATAACAGTAAAATTTAGCTTTTTTGGTTATTACAGCAGCTTTAGAGAGAGAGAGAGAGAAATGGGGTTTAACGTCCACTCGACACAAACTAGGTCATTTCGGGACTAACATATGGTTTAATTTTATTTCAATAAATCGCTTGCGCGTAGGGGTCTTTAGCAGTGGGAGGAAACCGGAGGACCCGGAGAAAACCCACGAGGTTGGACAGGCGACCCTACTCCTTGTCACGTACAACCGGGGATTCGAAACCACACCAGTCGACTCAATGACAGACTTTATGATACAGCGCGCGCACGCTAACCATTCAGCCATCCAACCCCCCAGCAGCTTTAGAAGATTATATTCATTTTGTTTTTTAATTTGCTTTATTATTAACTATACCCTTAGGAGCTGCATCTTTTGGTTTAGTATAATTAAATATCTCCGATGCTTGCAGGTTGTGCAAAAACAGAATACTAGTAATATTTTCCTTTTGCTTTTTCAAGGTTCTTAAAACAAATGTTGAGTTGCATAACTTGCAAGTTAATAAATTAGATTTTTTGATCTAGTTTCCTGTACTGTTTCATAGAAAATAGTCTTTATTATCCAGGTCTGTCAATCAAACGGAGAACAGGCGGTAGACAGGTTTAGCGTGACTAATTTTAAATCATGGGCATGTAAGTTACATGATGTAACCTAATTTGCATTCAAAAATGACCAGATATTTATTGATGTTTAAATGGTTTTAGTGACTATAAGAGTGAAAAACTAAGTTGAGGCTTGTTATATAAATATTGTGGTATAATAGTCCAAATATTTGGAGATATTTATGCTGGGGCACCCTAGAATAAGCTACAAATTATTTCTTCTAAAGAGATTATTGTTTAATATTTTTTTCCCCACATTGCAAGAATCCAGTTTTTCATACCTTACTGATTTTATACAGAGAATCTTGTCCAGATCCTCCAGCATCTTTAAAGAAATCATGAGCAGGGAATGTTCGGTTAATATCTCTCTGTATCACAGATTCATGATCTGATTCCTAGAAAATAAAATCACATATGTAGAAGTAAGAAACTACATAAGACAACTGATAGTTATAAGGTAACTAAATCTTCAGTCACCATGGTTTATTTTCAGTAGGCCTACTAACACCATATTGTTACAGGTCATCTATAATTATTTATTGAGTTACAGCTCTGTATAACTTTTAAGTTGAGCGACTGATGTTGAATCTGTAAATATCTGACATTTAAAATAGACACTTTATAATCAATCCCATGTCTAATATTTTTTTTCAGAATTGTTGGGTCAGTTAAGAAGAAAATATCTAATACAAGTAGCCCCCATCCCCCTTACGTAATGTTTCACTATGAATCATGAAATGATGAATTAAAGATATCAATTATTATGTAGATAACTCTTTTGGGTGGATTAAGCCTTATCAAATTTACTATAATAACACTACATACCTTGCTGATTAATATTCTGTATGTTTCATAAGAATCATTCCCTTCATGAACACCAGCTAAAAGCTGCCAAACCTCCCCTCGTAGAGCTTCCGGTACTCCCTTTCTAACCAGATGGTGAACTTGTTTTGGTCGTTGTGACAGATTTTGATGCCACTTGGTAAGAACATCATGCCAAGCATCCAAGAGGTTTTCATCTGTAATTTCTTTGCTAACTACACCTGAACCACTTAATAATGGCTCGTCACCATCTATTAAAAAATTTATCTGGGTTCATATTTGCAACATTTCAGAAGAATAAAGATTTCTGTAACTAATCCATCATCAAGTGGCTTTTATTTAAGTTAATACTCATTGATTCAAATTTTGTACCTATATAGAATAATTATTGCACTTCAGGGATATCATGCAAAAATGTACTTAATTTATGCTTGTTATGTCAATTTCAAATTTACATTACAGAAGAAACATATGTAAATATTAATTTATTGCAATGAAAAATGCTTCAGCTGATATTGTGTTTATTGCAAAATCAAAAAAATACTTTTAATATTTTCTAAAACCGATTTTTTCGTATGGAAAATAGTAGACAAAAGGAGAAAACAAGTTCTTTACATCCTAATTATCTCCCCTTAGACCACGGAATGACTTCTAGAAGCCCTACTATCACTATCAGCAGACTATCTGCAAGCCAAGTTTAAGCATGGTGTAGCTTCTAATATTACAGTTTACTAAACTCTGGTTCACAATGACATACTGTAGACTAGCTAATGTTACCGTATGTTTAAAGAACTCAAAACAGAGCTATCAATTTAAAATTGGTTGGTTCTTGCCTTGCCAACCAAATAGGATATCAAGTCCTGCAGTCTAACAGAGTTGTGCAACCACTTAAATGCTATATCAGAGCAGTATGAAGCCTTTAAGAGTCATTCCATGAGAAAACCATGCAATATCATGCAGATGTTCGAAGGTGCAGGTCGGCCGATTGAGTTCATATTCGCAGAGTTTTGTTCGACCCTACCTCCCCAGCCAAAATCGCTGATTTAAGAAATCAACTGTTTCCGAAATACAGACTGATTATGTCTTTCGGCTGATTTTTGCCATTTGCAGGCCAAATTTTAGCTATATTTGTCGCACTACTACCACTGGAAAACTCGTTTTTTGTTGTTCACGAGTCGGGGTAATACCCTATCACATTATCGTGGTCACCCGGTTCAAGTTCCTTTTCTGTAGGTGTCAGGATACTACACAAGATACGTGTTATGAGATACCTAAAATGTACCCTATCTTCAGATCGCGATAACTCTACTGGTGCAGGGTTTGTGATAAAAATCAAAATCAATTTATTTGCAGTTTGACCAGTTCTAACAACAGAAGAAATAAAATCGTTGTCAGTTAACCTGCAACAGTATGAAAATTCATGTCGAAAGTTACCAAAAACTTCAGTTTTGATTGGGATACATCGGCAGATTATTCGGGTACCCAATCGCCTAAATTGATACTCAAAGTGTCAATATATCAACTCCGACTCCCTTTCAACCTGCTTTGTCAAAATATTTAGTCTCGGTGTCGTTTGGTATCCAGTCTACAAATCCAAGATGACATCTTCCAGTGAATATGGATTTTTGCGAATTCTCGATCCTGATTATTTGAACATTTTTTTTCTATGCAAAATTTCAATCCAAAATTTTGAAAAACAGTCGAGTTAGAGCGGATAAAAGTCGGCAATTATGCAAAACAAACCCAATTTCCATGAAAACCGCCTATTTGACCGTCAATCGTGAGATCATCTGAATTTCTCGACAAAGGAATAAGTCAGTCAAGCAAGGCAGATTAAGCAGGTAAACAAGGTAGGTGTATAGACAGGATAACATGATAAATATGCTGATCACTTAATTGTCTAATCAAACCAGCCTATTATCAACGATAATCGGGATAAGTGGTAGTTATACTCAGTACACTATATTAATTTTGAAATTTTGAATATTATTCAACTATTTGGAAAAAAGCGTAGGACATGTTCTGAATGTACGGGCGAAATCCCAACACTTAGAGGAGTTAAGAAACAAAAAAATCGACGCAAAAAGTGAATAATTTTGTTACTTTCGTCACAAATTCTCATAATGTTGGAGGTTAGTTGACAACGATTCTATTTTTCATGTTGTTAGAACAGGTCAAGCTGCATATAAAATGATTTTCATTTTTATCGCAAACCCAGCTCCAGTGGAGGTATCGCAATTTGGAGAAAGTGTATAATTCAGGTATCTGCAGAGACACATATTTTGTGTAGTCTCATGACACCTATGGAAAAAGAGGTTGCACTGGGTGACCATTATAATATTGTAGGGTGAGACCCAAACTATAATCGCCAACCAAAACCTAGTTCGCCATTGGTCGATTAACTGCTGTAGCAATGCTACAGAAATGGTCGAAATTTGACCCGAAAAAGACAAAAATCAACGTAATCGGCCTGTATCTCAGAAACGGTTGATTTCTAAAATCGCCGATTTTGGCTGGGGAGTAGACTCGATGGGTCGACTAACCTCCTGTAAATATGAACTCAATAGGACCCTCCTTCCCCCTCTAAAATCTTCGTGGAATGGCTCTTAAGAACAGGATGGAGTACCATTCAATCATAACATACCTGACTCTTCATCAATATCTTGTGGTGTTTGAACTGGGTCAGGTATGGCTCGATTAGGATTTAAACTAAGTGTTAAACCAGATCTTCTCTCTAACTCTGTCTGACTATCAACACTTAATACTTCAAATAAGCCATCTTCACTCTCATTACCGTCAATCTAATAGCAATTAATAATAAAATGTAATAAGCAAAACAAAATATTACCGAGAAGAGGTGTTTTTTGTAGTTGTTAGCACCCAAAGAAGTACAAAGATAGGCTCCCAAGCAACGAAACATACTCCCACAGCAGCTAAATTAGTCGAGCAGTCAACAAAGGTTGTTGCATATTTATTCTTTTGTAGGTAATGGGAGCATTTACAAGACAATTTCATAAAGATCGTTAGGGTGTTCACAATATACGACCACATTTCAATGTGGGCGTACAAAAAGCGACTGACAAGGAAAGATTTGTTATTTTATGCACATTTTATTTCTACACATCATATCCAAAATTTAAAAAATCACATTTCCACCTAATGTAATAGCCCTTAATAACAAAAATATGCCTACCTGTTTGAGTCTAACATAAAATTGTTCATAATGTGGTTTTGTAGAAAAATACCAAAATCTTTCTGTCTGAGAAAATATTTTGGCTTTTGATTCTATGGCAAACCTGACTGGCTCCTGAATACCAAATATGACTAGATCTACAGCAACTGTGAGAAAAACTCGCGTATCTGAAATAAATTGATACTTTTACAAAGACTTATATACAAAGAAAATTTCCTTCCAACATCTACAGTTTCTACACCAAATTTAACTTTCTACCTTAATTGGAAGCAGAATTATTGTGTGACGGACTGGCAGACAGAGCTGCTTGGCCAAAGCAGAAAAATACTCATCATTGATCTCAGTCAAAATATTCACCTAATGAATATCTACAACAAGTAGAAGCACAATTATTGTGTCCTAAAAAGTGAGAGGACATAGGGATGGGCAGACTTCAAAAGGCAAAGGACAAAAAGAAGACAATACTGCATTTATTGGTCACAGCTTTATCTATAGGTTAATTCTTTTTTTGTAGTCAGTTAACATAGGAACAGACTGACGAACACATTTTAATAGTTTATTTTCTTCGAAAGGCGCATGGCTCATAAAGACGTTTTGTGCATTTAATGGTCACAGTTTTATAGGTTAATTATTTTTTGTAGTTGGTTTATATCATATCACAAACACCCATGGAGGCATGACCTACTGGTTAGAATATTGTATACAGTGACAAATCTAAGTTATGTTTAAGTTAAGGATCAAGGAAGCATTAAATTCTTGACACAATTTTGTTACATGAATCTCAGAAAATAATTGTGACACTCGGTTAACCTTAGCCTTTAAACCCATGAATTCTTGTCAGAGACTAATTACGATGAGTTTTCCAGTTGATGGTCATGAAACTATGCATTCCAGTATTTCCTGATGGAATTAATTTCTTGAATATGTTAGTCTACATATCTGCCATTTGTTCATACTAAATTCAGCCATACCTTTAGGTGTTTCTGTATTAAGAACAGCAAAACATTGTTCAGTTGGATCCCAATGTCCAGATATAGTATAGGATCTACCATCTGACTGATAACCCATAGATACCTATAATTACAAATTATATGTTAAATATTCTAAATTATGGGAGGAAATTGCAGCCACCACAGATAACTCACAAGGTTAGGCAAGCGACAATACACTTTGTCATGTATAAATGACTTGCAAAGATAACAGGGTTTATGATCTACAGTGTGTCTTTTAGACCTTATTCTCACCCATCAGTTACGGGATTTTAAACATTTGGAGAAATTTCTGCGCAGAATCTTTAAGAGTAATAACTTTTAAAATGGAGAATTTGAACAGACATTTTCTTGTTTTCAATCATTAAGAACATTTAACAGGATACAATTTGTTCATTTTAGCCCTCTGTGAAATTAACAGGGTTTCTGTTTTTAAAATCAATTCAAAGTCAGGCAGAATTTCGGAAAAATTTGCCCTTGGTTTATTTCTGTACAAATGCAAAAATCTATTCAATTTTGATATTACCAATTCTATGAGCTGCATGTCACTGTGTTTAACATTTCTACCCGGTGATATCAACAAACCAAAACATCTGAAAGATATTCAAACAAATAAATCATAATTTTTTTTTTCCTGAAAATATAATTTATTTTCAATCTAATTAACTTTCCAATTGTTCCGGCAGCAGTGATGTCACAGTTTTTTCGCAAAATTATCTACATTTCTGAGGGTTAGACATTTTTTTACAAGTTGACTAAAACATTTGAGGAATTGTCTCTTAATGTGTTATGTGTTAATTACACTTATTCTGACAAGGTTGATTTTTGCAGTTTACCCAAAGACAAAAAGACTTAACAAGCTAACAGTGAGACTGAGACCCCCTCCACGGCTAATATTCCATGACAAGAAGAGACCACAAATCCCCTGATTATCCCAATACAGAAACTAGTTTTCTTGCCCAGGCCTGTTAATCAGTCAGATAACCATTTTCAAATTCTTTATTACACATGATCATATTACATACAACACACTGTAAAACTCACATGACACATACTCTATACGTCTATTCACTCAGTACCACAAATTGCATGTTGGGAGACATCCAAGCTACTCACCAAGATCACATAGTTATATATATCTAACAAGACCAACATCTGTCAACATATAGCCATCAGATATGAAAAGTTGGATGAGTGGTGCATATAGGATAAAATGGTGAACTTACCTTTCTATTTTAAGATCTGACAGACCTGTTTGTTGAACTGATATAACAATACGTTTCTCTATATTACACTTAAATTTAAATATATTTTTATCCTTCGGACAGGCGGTATAACTTCCCTTCCCATCATCCTCTTTAAATTCTATTCCCACGGTAAAAACATGATTTTGTTCTGCTTCTTGTAGACTACTGGTGGAAATGGTTCTCGTACTACGTGGCACTCGTCGAAATGTTGTTGCAAAGCAATACAGAATCTTTGGTACCTGAAAAATAGTCAACAGACTGATAGAGTATATGGCTGCCATACTATAGCATGAAGGGTTTGGTTAAACCCTTTGAATTTTGGGGCTATTTTCAACATTACTGAAAAGACATTATACTTACAGCTTCTGCCAAATCACATCTAAACACATGACATTGAAATATTGCTGATTCTGCTGTATCTCCATAACTAAATGTAAACGCAAAACACTTCTTTTCGTTGCTATCAGCCGGGCCGCGGGCACAGAATAATATGCGATGTATTCGATAACTTGCTATTTCACTATCACTACTTGGATCTATTAGTCTGAAATATACAATATTCTCCAAATTAGCAACCCATAGCCAAATATGCAAATATTCTATTTCTATTCTGGTAAGCATATAATTTGTTAGTTGAAGATCACTAACACCTACACAGAATATAGCAAATTACAATTAATTATATACAAGGTTGTAATATTAAAAACAAAAATTCCAATTATAAATTGATTTATATCTAAGAAACAAAAACCTAGATCTTTAGATGCAGACAGTTCATGTGTATTTGTGAGGTCTATTCTCTGCTTAAAACTAAGGCTCTGATGATAATAATACATGTTTTGCCATAGACTTAAGAATAAGCCATTTGATATATTTTATTGAGTAGCTGTAGTCAGTAGACAATTTGTATTGTACATGTATAAAACTTCCATTATTCAAATTGGGTCTTACAGGTAATCTTAACAATTCATTTATGTCATGTTCTATAAAACATAATCATACATTTTACAAATGAAGATTTTTCCTTGTTTATTATGAATAATTATTATGAATACATGTAGTTACGATGTAATGTACCGATAATAAAAAAACATAAACATAATTCATGTAAAGGAAACTTTTGTAACAAAGAAACACTGTCAAGTGAAAATATTAGTATGTATTTGAAAAAAACCAAAACAACCTTCTAATTCTTGAAGTCTGATGAAATCAAATTAACAAGGAAGCAGGCTAGAATGAAGGGAGTTGTAGCTGCTTTATAATCCTTCGAATTATCTCATATTTAAACCAATCAAGGAAATGTGTACAAAATGACATGTATTTGGTATTTTTAGAATGGTTATAAACATGCAAATTAACATAATGTAAATTTCAATGTTGCAATTTATGCTCAAATACCATGCCAGCTCATCATCCACCCACCATCTTAAATCCTGTATATCTGCTAAAAAACTCAAAAATTTTCGTCTTTCATATTCAATATTTTAAAAATTAATATAATATGGATATATTTTCAAATGATTGGTATTATCTTTCTCACAATGACAATAATGATGAACATTTCCTTGAATTGGTTTAAAGATGTAATATTTGGAGACCAAAAAGACGGTATGAAATGGCTTTGTAAGGAAAACAAGACATTAAAATTCTAATCAGAGCCTCAACTCACTTCATTTATATTCGGAGTACATTATGTGTAATAATATATATTTGCATAAAGCATAAAGCTTTCTGTTGAAATCAACAATCTAAATAAAAGCACTTTTGCATACAAGCCTTATACAAAACATAGAAAGAACAAGCAAATTAAGACCACAACCAGCATGTAAAAACTAAAAAAATCCACACACAATCATTAAAACCACTCACAACATAAACATTGAATAACAAAAAAACATGTTACATATTGAAAAGGTATAGAAATCCAAATTGAAATTGGCTTTAAATCAATGACTGCATACATTGGTTTTATAATTAAGGCTACATAATCTTATTACTGTTTCCAAATAGGATTTAACTTTCAAGAAATATATTTTCTTGGTATAGTCTATTTTGACTCGAGTGTTAGTATATAAAATTCTTGTGTATAAATTTAGAGAACAAAAACAGTATTATTATGAAGCCCTTCAGCCTAATACATACTGAACACTAATTCCCTATATAATGCAGGTTACATGTATATTCATGGAACAAATCAACAGAGTTATACTACAGGGATACGCTAGTGAACATGTATATTAAGACAGAGACAGAAAAGGGGTTTGATGTCCACTCGACACAAACCAGGTCATTTTGGGACTACCTTAAATATAAAGGAAAGTTTACAAATTTACACAAACAAATCATGAGATCTAATTTTTCTATGACAATTATTAGCTTTACCAAATAGAGATTGAAAATTATCCAGACAAAAAGTACAAGTTGTCAACAATGGTAATTTTTTTGACTTTGAAAATTGTAATCTATGCTTGACAAGACATGTAACTCAATACATGCACATAGTTTGTATGTTGCATATCCATTGGTCATACAATTTTGTTATCCTCACAACCATGTAGTAGTAGTTTGTTGTATTTAACGTCCGCTTCCACCGAGGTGATATCACAGACAACCATGTAGCCTGGTACACTTTAGGTCAAGTAGTGTAGATATATATATATATAAGATGGTAATGTTACTTCCTCATTTTCAGATGAACTAGTCAGAAAATTCATACAACCTGCATAAATAACTACAGTATTGGTCTATAAATGACCCGCGCTTAGGTCAAGTAGTGTAGATTACACTGTACATGTGTAAGAACTAAGATAATTATGAAAATGATGAAGTGTTCATGTTGTCTCTCATAAAAACTGACTTGTTAAGTTAGATAATTCATGCCAGAAAAGATGACATGGAGCAGTGGACATAACTACAATATAAGTACATGTACATATGAATAAGAAATTGTGAATAAAAATCATAAAGTATGAAGGAAATAGAGAGTATGAAATAAAAAAAAAAAAAAAAAATATGGAACAAACTAAAAATGACTAAATTATTTTAAATACACTACCTAACCACACTGGCATCAGTAGGACTGAAAGTAGGAAATAAACACACACAGTAGATAAAATTCATTAATAAAAACCAAAAATAACATTTTGTAATAAACAGAACCTGGGAAATAAATGAAGGGAGTAGCTCTGATTATAATTTGAATGCCTCGTTGGCCTTTAAAGACTGTTTCATACCAATTTTTGGTCCTTAATTGGAATGTAAACCAATTCAAAAAAATGTTTATCATTATAAAATGACCCAACTGATATAATTTAAAAGATAATTGGCATGCTACATATACAATTAATTTGTGTATATCCACATTTGCCTTAAGACATCCAATTTTAAAGTAAGGAAATTGTTTTGGTGTGAGGTTTGTCTTCGGGGAGGGGAGGGGGGGGGGGGGGGAAATTAATTTTTATATCATGCTAATCTACATTTTTTTGAAGTGACTGACTTTAAGATATACATGTATATCATTTGGAGATACAAAAAGGAAGATGAGATTTTCTAACCCCGAGATACTTAGAACAATTATGAAAGAGCTTCTACTTCCTACATTCCAACTTCCTGGAGGAACTCAATTATCAATTCTAAAATGCTACGAAGTACATGTGCATGTAGTTTCAATTCAAAGCAATCATATAAAAAGACATTCAATTTAGTGTTCGAAAAGGGAATAAAAATCAAAAAAAATCAAAAAAAATCCAAACTTCACGGTCAGCTATGCATGCTTCCAATCACAGAGTGTAACATATCATTATTCCTGGCTCATCACTACTTTTTAATATAATTGGTTATCTCATCTGTCAGAAAGATCATACAAATCATTTTTAATATGTCCTAAACCTCTTTCCTAAGACTTGCTTTTTAGACAGTGATCAAAGGGATTTTAATCCCTTGTGAACTATAATATTGTGCAAGTTGAATCTCTAAAAGCAATACCAGTCCAAACATGGTTCAGTTCCATAAAGTATTTACATAATACATTGCAAAATGTGTAAAATTCGTCAACTTCTGCAGATGATTATCTTTGGTAAAACTTGCCAGGCCATTTCGAATGTCACGTGATGTATCCTTCCGTTGGTCGCTTCACAAAGATCTAAGATGGCTGCTTAAAACTAGAGTTTGTTCAGAAATTTCACATATTTACCTGAATTATTCACATTGTGCGCTAAAAAAAGTTCCGAGTAATTCATCAAATTGGCTGTTTTCGAATGAACTTTTGATGTCAAGAGCTGGAAAATGTTCCAAGGATCATTAATATGTAATTCATGCAACGAATCGATGTCTACATGTAACTGTCGAGAAATCAGTAACATTTCATTCTAACAAATCCTTCCAATCAGTAGCTACTGGGGACAGAGCTTAGGAATCGATTTCACGCTGATCAAATTGTCGGCGAGTTTTACCAGAGATAAAGGAAGGGATCGAGATTGATGAAAGGTGTGTCCAAAACAAAAAGTGGCTGTCAACAATCACAATAACCATCTAATCGAGTAGGAAAAAGGTCAGGCTAAAAGTCTGAGCCTAGGGTAGTGATGACATGTTACAGACCATAGTTAATACAAGAACTCTCATGCAGTAACTCATTATCTCCCGAACCTACTCATGCAATAAATGACTAAAAAAAAAAAGAAATATAGTTTTAAAAGAAGAGAAATGCTTTTATGAAAGACATAATTTTGTTTTTCATTCATATATATGGCAAAACATGTATTGCAGTTATCTGGTTTAGTAACTTTATTTCTTTCCTAAATACGCCAATAATTTAATAATAGCAACAGCTCCTATTTTAGTCATATGCTACACAAAATGCTTATGTACAGCAAGAAAGGGGTTCTATTAATTGAATCCTACTGCTCACACAAATATTGGTATTCAAAATTTTAAATACTTTTTCAAGACTATTCAAACTGATTTTGTGGTCAGTCGAGATTTAAAACTACTAAAATTTGATAATTTTTTATCGCCTTAGGAATCAATAATAATCAATACTAATACAATTCAATGAAATCAACTGATTATAATTATTCTAAAAATAAATCAACAGATAATGGGAAATTTTGAAAGATTCTCCATTATAAGAAATTTAAAAATGCATGAATGATGATAAAAAAAGAGATCATTTTAATTGGATACAATGTTCGAATATCATTCAAAGGACTTAGAACATTCAAATAGTAAAATCAGCATTTGATGTGACCACTATTGTAGTCAACAAACAGCATTATGTCACTATGGTAGAAAATATTCAAACTGCTAATTCAATGTGTTTGTGTCAAATTTTAGTTTAGAGCAAAAAGGGTTGTGCAAATAATGCATGTAATCTGAACACTGAACAGTACAGAAAATTTATATGTAATGGAAATAATATGACCTTAAGCGGGTCATATATATTTTTAATGAAAATAATGTAGCATAAGCAGCAGATCACTATCAGAAAATTGCATTATTGTTGTATTCAAGAACATTCATATCATTGATGATCAATTTATTGATTTGAAATGTTTGATAATAACACTGATTCCTAGTTCAACTGTGCTTAATTGGTTGATCTAATGTGTTATTTTGATTAGTTATGGGACAGTATCTACACGTATAAAGTTTTGTTTGAAAAGATTAAACAGTTGTTGGACTTCTTACCATTACTATGTTGACATTGGAACACAAAATTGGATAAAATATAAACATTAGTTTTATCTACTGGGATAATGGAGACAGATTCTCATCCAGCAATACAAATCAATATATAAAAAACAATGAAATCGTCAATTTCATTTTTGAAAGAGGGATTGCCATTTTCATGTGCATTGAATTCAAAGCAACTTGGAGCAGGTCCCATTTAAGTTTTATACTCACTATTTGCTTGTTGTAATTTCTTGTAAGTCTCTTATATTTGAATGTTGATAATAAATCTGAATACCTACCTAATGACACCCTCTGATGTACTAGGTACAGACAATATGATTGGTATGGCGAGCTGAGTTTGATCATTCATAATAGCCATATTACGATATATCTCTACTTCACTCCGGGGAGCATTAACAATCGCACATCCAAGGTAGGTAACTCCATTAAACACAGTACAATCACCAGACGGAAAACTTGGTAAGGAAGTTGATCTGTTGCACTCTGAAAAGAAATCAATCACAAATGTAAATTCATATACTGTACGTATTATTTAGAAAGGGGCGCCGGAACCCGGGTACCAGGGTATACAAATGGTACCCTGCCCTTTTCTGGGGTATACATGTATACCCATGCCCTAATGATGAAAGTTTTCGACCTTTTTTCTAATCTATTCATTTTCGTCCTTAATCTGTGCGAAGTGTTTAATGTCGTTGAGCATGCGTAGGAATTTTGAATAGGTCAAGTCTGTCGTTAATGTATATTTTTCATCGTCCCCGTCTTCAGTCAATTGTCATTTATAATCTGTCGTTCTATGTCCAGTTTTTCAAGCCAATCAAAGTAAACGGCACCTGTCATCCAAGCTTTGCGATTGGCCGACCAATTGACTGGCAGGTAGATCTTGTCCACTCCCTTAAAACAACTCGGGTTCACTGCTTTACCGATCAAAGTAATCAACACAGTTTTAATCTCACCGATAACTGATTGGTGATTACTTGTTAATCTTTTCTGGCTTCACACCCATTGAGTTTTAATCTCACCGATAATTGGATGCTTCACACCCACCGTTTGAAGTACGGATTATACGGTGTCGATTCAATGGAAATTATGTGATGGGACGGCTGATTGATTTCGGAATCCGGAACATACAGAATTTGGATTTACCAGCGATTTTTTGGCTGAAGTAATAAGGAAATAAATCGGGACATGAAAATCATACCGGATGTCACAGCAATCCGGAGTGATCAGAGATCGGATGTGACAGAGTCCACTGTAGTTTCATTATAGTTATTAGCCTTTTCAATTACATAATTTTTTATGAGATAAATTGCTCATGATACGAAAATTTGTGAATAATCAGGCTTTTGTCTCTTTCATTATCATGTATTTTAAAGGGTTTTATGTTGGAATTTGGAATGCTAGAGGCGCTCTAAACAGCGTTTTCGGAATTGCCAAACCTCAAAATTTTCTAGAGGTTTGGGGAAGAGAACCTTATCTTTTGGTACCCTGGCCCTCGCGCCGTTCCGGCGCCCCTGTATCGTGATCATCTTTGAACATCAAATTAAATATTATCAAGGTAACAGAAATATTGCTGATACTCAGGGAGAGAATTTCATTTAAAGACAGGCTGCCAGGCAACAAAACATATGCCCACAGTAGCTAAATCGCCTGAGCAGTCGACAAGGGTTGTCACATATATGCTTTTGTAGGTAATAGCCTACTAATAGGAGTATTTACAAGACACTGACATCAATTTCATTTTGATATCGAATGTTCACGAGGTTTAACAAAGTGAAACAAGGGTCATAACTGTAGAAGTTATTAACAGAAATTACTTAAATTCAAAAGGCATCTTCATTTTACTAATCTTAATAATGCATTTAAATCTAATACGGTTCAGATGATAACTTTTGTCATTAGAGCGATCACAAGGGGTCAAACAAAGTGAAACAAGGACCATAATTCTAGAAGTAATTAACGGAAATTGTTGAAATTCAATAGGATTATTCGTTCTAGTGATTTACTGATTAAATAATGCTTATAAATTTCGTACAGATTGGATGATAACTGTTGTCAATAGAGCGTTTACAAGGTTCAACAAAGTGAAGCGAGGACCATACATGTAATTCTCGAGGTAATTAAAGGACAATATTGGTGCCAGTCATTATCACATGTGTGATAGAACTGGTTAAACACGTTCCAAATATCATTTTATCACAGTGATCAATGCTACAATAGATGTGTAATCAATGCTTGAACAATCGGAAGTGACGAACGCAAAAGAAAAACACAAGTTATCCCTCTATATAACTGACTGAAGTGACAAGTGATAACAGATACATGGGCGAATTTCTGCTCACTAATAATTCTTTCGAAGACCAAAAGTTGTTATATGAGACTGTAAGAGTATATCTGACAATTCAAAAAAGTAATTGAATGTCATTAGATAAGAGAACACGAGAAAAATAGAAACAGTCCGTACATTCACATGTTCATTTATTCTATACTTATAAAAACATGGTAACACATGGACTTTTTCTATTTTTCTTTCATATTCTCTTATCTAGTGACAGTCAATTTTTTTTATGAATTGTCAGATAACCTTTCAAAGTCTCACACAACAACTTTTGGTCTTCACCCATGTACATGTATCTGTTATCACCCGTCAATTAAGTCAGTTATATAGAGAGATAACTCGAGTTTTCCTTTTGCGTTCCTCACTTCTGATTGTTGAAACATTGCTTACGCATCTATCATAACAATGATCACTGTGATAAAATAAGATTTGGAACGTGTTTAACCAGTTCTTTCACATATGTGATATATAATGACTGGCACCAATATTGTCCATTAACAGAAATTGTTGAAACTCAATAGGTGTCTTTGTTTTAGTGATCTAAATAATGTGCATAGATTTCGTACATATCGGATGATAACTTTTGTCAATTAAGCGCTCACACATTTCAACAAAGTGAACCAAGAGCCATAAATCTAGAAGTCATTAACAGAAATTACATGTAAATTCAACACAGATCGGATAATAACTTTTGACGTTAGAGCATCCACAAGGTTCAACAAAGTGAAACAAGGACCATAACTCTGGAAGTAACAAGCCAACAGTGAGGCTGATGTCCCCCGTCGAAATCCCAAAATAAATAGATGACACACATTATTTAAACGCTCATTTATTTTTTTTCAAATGTATCAAGCAATCAAACTATACACTAAGTTTCATCACTATCAGATAGAATCAAGATTATCTTGTCCCAAAGCATTGACCAATGAAATTGATTAGCTCTGCTTAGCTTCAGCTCGAAATGTTAATCATTGAACTCAGTCAAGACATTTACCTAATGAACATCTACATCAAGTCTAAACATTCTGCCTCAATTAAAAGCAGAGTTGTTATGTTCCAAAGTCTTGACCAATCAAATTGCTTATCACTCATTAGCCTAAGCAGAAAATTCTCACCATCGAATTTAGTTATGTTAATGATATAATGAATCTATATTCGGAGTTCCATCGCTCTGACTTTATTATAACCAAAGTTATCGTGCCTCAAAGCATCAACCAATCAGATTGCTTATTTCTGCTTACGTAAGCAGACAATGTTCATCATAGAACTCCATCAAGGCATTCACCTAATGAACGGCTACACCAAGTTTAAACATTCTACCTCAATTAGAAGGAGAGTTATTGTGTTCCAAAGTCTCGACCAATCAAATTGCTTATCGCTCTGCTTACCCTCAGCAGAAAATATTCATAATCGAACTTAGTCAAGATATTGATGTAATAAAGCTATACACCAAGTGTCCTCACTCTCACTTAATTAGAACTAAAGTTATTGTGTCTCATGTATATCAACCAATCAAATTGCTTATCTCTGCTTACCCTAAGCTGAAAGTTCTCATCTTCGAACTCCATCAAGGCATTCACCTAATAGACACCTACATGTATGCCAAGTGTGAACATTCTAACTCAATTAGAATGAGAATTATTGTGTTCCAAAGTCTCGACCAATCAAATTGCTTATCGCTCTGTTTACCCTGAGCAGAAAATGATCATTATCAAACTTAGTCAAGGTATTGATGTAATGAAACTATACACCAAGTTTCATCACTCTCACTTAATTAGAACTAAAGTTTTTCCGACGTGGTTTCCCCTTGTCAGTGGTGCAGAACGGAGGGCCTGACAAGGACAGTTGTCTTGTCCTTCGGATGAGACGAAAAACCGAGGTCCCGTGTATATATTGGAATGCACGTAAAAGATCTCCTGGCAGTTGGAATTCGATATAAGAGTAGGCGATAGTGCCGCTGCCCGATCAAAATTTCCCTCATAGCACACTGTATGGCGTATGCCCGTCTTCATTAGACCAGTTTGGAGCAAAACCGTAGGAGGTTAAACCCCATTTCATTTCATTCAGAACTAAAGTTATCATGTCCAAAGGCATCAACCAATCAAATTGCTTACCTCTGCTTACTCTAAGCAGAAAATGCTCATCTTCGAACCCCATCAAGGTATTGACCTAATAAACACATACACAAAGTTTGAAATGAAATGAAATGAAATGGGGTTTAACATCCTACTGTTCTGCTCCTAAACTGGGCTAATGAAGACGGGCAAATGCCATGCAGTGTGCTATGAGGGAAATTTTGCCTGGGCAGCGGCACTATGGCCTACTCTTATATCGAATTCCAACTGCCAAGGGATCTTTTACGTGCACGCCAATGTGTACACGGGACCTCGGTTTTTCATCCCATCCGAACGACTAGACAGCTGTTCTTGTCAGGCCCCCCGTCCTGCATTACTGACAAGGGGGAACCACGCCGGGAAATCTGGATGAACTTTCTCGGCCAATGCAGGGATTGAACACCCGACCTCCAGGCTAGCGAGCCAGCGTTTTACCCACTTAGCCACCGTGACCCCCCCACCAAGTTTGAAGATTCTAGCTCAATTAGAAGGAGAGTTATTGTGTTTCAAGGTCTCGGCCAATCAAATTGCTTATCGCTCTGCTTACCCTGAGCAGAAAATGCTCATTATCGAACTTAGTCAAGGTATTGATGTAATGAAACTATACACCAAGTTTCATCACTCTCACTTAATTAGAACTAAAGTTATCATGTCCCAAATCATCAACCAATCAAGTTGCTTGTCTCTGCTTCCCCTTAGCCGAAAATGCTCATCTTCGAACTCCATCAAGGCATTGACCTAATAAACACCAACACCATGTTTGAACATTGTAGCTCAATTAGAAAGAGAGTTATTGTGTCCCAAAAAAGTGTGACAGACAGACAGACGAACCCATTTTAATAGTCCCCTGCTTTCTTTGAAAGGCGGGGGACAATAAACGGAAATTGCAGAAATTCAATAGGATTGTTCATTTCACTAATTTAGATAATGCATATAAATTTCACAAAGATCGGATGATAACTTTTGGCATCAAAAGGTTCACAAGGTTCAACAAATTGAAACAAGGGCCAAAACTCTAGACGTAATAAACGGAAAATGCTGAAATTCAATAGGCTTCTTCTTTTTTTTACTAATTTAAATGACGCATGTAAATTTCATACAGATTGGCAGATAAGAGCGTTTACAAGGTGCAACAAAGTTAATCAAGGGCTATAACTCTAGAAGTAATTAACGGAAATTGCTTAAATTTAATAGGCTTCTTGGCTTCTTCGTTTAACTAATTCAAATAATGCATTATAAATTTCACAAAGATCGGATGATAACTTTTGGCGTTGTAAACAATATAAACTTCATTATGATCAGATAATAAATTTAGTCTGTAGATTGTGGCACAAGAAATTGTGGACAGTAGACTGAAAGACGGAGGCGACGGCAATATACGACCACATGCACAATTAAAACTAGTTGATCTTAAAGATACATTATGGGAGATTTTTATAAGGAGTTAGCCATTCTTGCTGTAACAGTTCAAAACTAGATAATGAAAGAAGAATATATTGAAAATTTCAGTCAAATTACTTTATTCTGAACATAGTGACATGTATCACAGTGTAATTTTTGACTAGAAATGGGATTGAATTCCATCTTCACCGATTCTTTATAGTATGGCCGATCGTTTGATTGAGAGGTGTTAACTCCACCTACATAATCTCTGCTGTCTTTTGTCTGCTGTCATCATATCCGAATTTGTGTTTTACCTTTTTGGATTTTTATAACAATTGGACAAAATGAGTGAGAGGGTAACTTTTCATTCTTACTTGTATTTTGGGCATGCATTAAATCAATTGAATATAGGACATAATATTATAATACAATTATGATAAATCTATAGGTTAGGTATACACCAGTGGCGTCATGCCTATTGGGGAAATAAAAATATTTTTATTATTATTATTATGACAGAAGACCTGTACGTCTGTATTAGTCATCACACAGTCTCTAGGAATTGTATAATTTGTCATTATCTGTGTTTAGTTTATTGCACTTTAAATAGTTTAGATATCATTTGTTAAGGCATCGCTCAACACAACAACAGCGGCTTGCTTTGTACACTCTATCATTTAGCCTCATTCCGGGAGTATGACGTCAACGTAACGGTTGATCTCCACTCATGACGCCATTTAAAATTAAATCAGTCAACGAAATCCCATTTAAATCCAAGCCATCCGTGGGCTTACAGATTTGATTTTGTGCTTGTTGTGTAAATAAAGATCTAATTTATAATTTCTATGACATCTGAAGCCTAAATAAAGACTTGCAATAATCAGATTTAGCTCTTGCATAATGTATGTTTAAACTAAAAAAGCAAATATTGGATTCCAAAGAAAACAAAGTCACAAAAAATTTTTTAAAGTGACAATAATATTATTTTATTCAGTTTAATTTTTTGTTGTATTAATGTATGATGTATTTTTATTTTGAAAGGATGGAGAAAATCCTATAAGCTTGTTATGAACCCTTATTTTGGTCATACAGGAACTTAATTTTGCATTTTAAGAAGAAACAGTATTGTTCAGTAACTTTAAGTGAAAATATTTGTACAAAATATGTACATGTAATACAAAAATTGTCTTATTATTCACTGAATCTTCGAATTTTGATACCCCTAGTTCAGAGTGGCCTGCCCAGAGGTAAAAAGTGTGCATTATTCTTGGGTGCCTACGATAGTCATATTTTAACTTCTGTTATAACAAAATTCCAGAAGTGTTAGTGTACACATGTTAGACAATGGCGACTGATGCCGCCGGTGGTTGGGGCAAGCTTTGGGAAATGCAGCCTGACAGTATTTTAGATACATGTACTGGTCGTCGAGATAAATAGAGCTGACCAGATACTGTTTGGCACCAAATCCCTAGCATTTATCCGAATAGAGAGGGATGTTGGTGAGTTACCTGACTTGGGGGTATATGTAAAGGGCATTGGTTGCGCTACTTACTTTGTTGTAATTCTGATGAACTTTGACCTTGTTGAATAATATCATTCTCTAGATAACTTTTATTTTCAACACTTCCTTCGGGCAATAACACATCAGCGGATTGGCTATTTGGTATCACATGACCTAAATTGTTATCAGTGATACTAGTGGCCATCTTTGTGTTACCATTGGTTGCAGCAGGGTCGGTTATCTCCTTATGAATATCACTCATGTCGCCAGTTAGTTTGAACTTGGGATCAGCATTTACCACAACAAATTCATCAGAAGTAGAAGAGGAGTCAACAGATTCTCTACTAACTGAATCATCCATCATAATTTAATCATCACAAATTATCCTCATCTTATTCTAACCTACAAAATGTAAAATATAATTAGCATATATTTGATCAGATGAAGGGGGGGGGGGGATATTGGCCCAAAGTAAATTTCTCACCTCTTGAATTTAGTCATGAAGTAGCACACTTTTGGGAGGGCCTAAGAAAGTGCTAGCTGCCCCTATTGCAGTTTTTTGTTTCATAAATATCTATTCTCAAGTTCTCAAGGCACTAACTGGTACACCTGTTGTCTACTACTACTAACCAATCAAATCTTTTAATTTGTGTTAGTTTTTCCTACTTTCTGTTCTTGAAATTCCTGTGATATATTTAGTCGCAATTATCACTCATACTTTTACCCTCAACAAAAAGACAGCATACTAGTACAAGTGCATAAGATATTGTAATTTTGAATGTGTTCATGTATGTGCAATTATGCATTGAAATTCCAGTGATGTATTTAGTCGCAATTATATATCACTCAGACAGTACTTTTTAATCATAAACCAGCGGTTGCCTGGCAAGATACGCCCACATTTTGAAAGAGATGAATAGAGAATAAGCTAAAAGAAACCCAAAAAAAAAATTTTTTGTACAATCAGGGGCCATAATCCAGGAAGTTATGGTCTGAAATGTGCGAATATTGAAATGGACTGAGATATTTGGGATATAAAGATATTTATAAGTTGTGACTTCTGGAGGGTCCACAACCTTGGTATTACAAACTTTTACACTATTTGCATACAAGGAGCGCCATTTTGTAGAGTGTCAACAAGATATTTAAAAGTGATCAAGGGCAATAACTCTGGTAGTAATTATCAGAAATTGTTCAAAATCAATAAGCTTCTTCGTCTCATGACCTTAAACACTGTGGTTTCCCCTTGTCAGTGATGCAGGACGGAGGGCCTGACAAGGACAGCTGTCTAGTCGTTCGGATGGGACAAAAAACGAGGTCCCGTGTACACATGGGCGTGCACATTAAAGATCCCTTGGCAGTTGGAATTCGATATAAGAGTAGGCCGTAGTGCCGCTGCCCGGGCAAAATTTCCCTCATAGCACAAAGTATGGCATATGCCCGTCTTCATTAGCCCAGTTTAGGAGCAGAACAGTAGGACGTTAAACCCCATTTCATTTCCTAAACACTGTGTTTAAATATTGAAAGTCAATCGGATGTTAACTTTAGCCATTAGAGCTGCAAAGAGATCAAGGGCAGTAATCATCGTAAATCGTTGAAAACACTGTGTATAAATCTAAAGTGAATCAGATATTACATGTAACTTTAGCCTCCAGAGCGTCCACAAGATATTTCAAAGTGATCCAGGACCATAACTCTTGCAGTACATGTAATTATCACATATCAATAGGCTTCTTCGTTTCATGGCCTTAAACACTGTGTATAAATTTAAAGTCAATTGGATATTAACTTTAGCTTGTGGACGCCAGAGCGAGGGATGGACCGACGGACGGGTGTGACTACAATATACGACCACATTTCAATGTGGGCGTATAAAAATAGATGGTGCCTGTGTATCATTGGTAATTTAAGTGAAAACTAAAGAAGAACTCTCGCGAGACGCCAAAAGATACGAGAGATGGCATAAACAAAATTTACAAATGAATAATGTTGAAAGAAAAATTTATTTTGATGGAATTTTCTAGTGTTTTCTAAACACAAGTTATAACAGCTATATATATATTTAGAAATGTCAACAAGTATTTGTATTGGAATACCGTAAGTAGTTCTAGACAATAGCAAAAGTTTGACTTTATTGTACAACTATGAGTGTGATAATTTTTGATTAGTTGTAATTTTTTTTTTATCTTCATCTATAACTTACTGTAAGTCGATGGAGTAATCAAATTAGATATGTCCTAGACGAGACTGGACTGGGTGGTTTGTATGAACAATCTATCCCTCAGTCTTTCAATACAGATGCTTTTCTACAGATGTTCAAACAAAGATTGAGGGATATTTATGTTCAGACTTGGAAATATATTGAAAAAGGACAAACTTTTAAGAATTTAAATAATTGCCTTAAAATAAACTAACACAAAAAATGATTTTTATTATAAAATTAAGACAAATTATGATACTGAGAAATACCTGGGTCTACCAGATGAACAAAAACGCCAGGCTTGAAATAGAGACAGGAAGGCATAAAAAACTATTGTCCACAGTTATAAGAGGACCTGTTAAAATTGTACAAGTGGAGGGGTAGAAGATGAAACGCACTTTCTTCTCCATTGCTCCGCCCACAAAAATCTTCGGAAAAAGTTTTTAAGTCATCACATTAAAACTAGTTTGAATGATTCAATAATGCATATAATGAACGATGATAAATGTATACAAGATGTTGCAACGTTTGTATATGAAATGTTTTAAAGGAGACATTAATTTAAAATACCAAAAGCTATGTAAGGCCTAATATATACCTTACAAGCGAGAGAGAGAGAAATGGGGTTCAACGTCCACTTGACACAAACTAGGTCATTTCGGGACTAACATATGGTTTAATTTTATTTCAATAATTCGCTTGCGCGTAGGGGTCTTTAGCAGTGGGAGGAAACCAGAGGACCCTGAGAAAACCCACGAGGTTGGACAGACGACCCTACTCCTTGTCACATACAACCGGGGATTCGAAACCACGCCAGTCGACTCAATGACAGACTTTAGGATACAGCGCGCGCACGCTAACCATTCAGCCATCCAACCCCCCCCCACCTTACAAGCATTATTAATATAATTTAATATACTTTTACTTTTAGAAACCTCTGTAAACCTTATTCTATGTTCTTTGATGTTTATTGTCGTATTAAAATTGTATGCTTTACCATACTCGTGCAGTTGTGTAATAAATCATTATTATTATTATATTATTATTATTAGGCCTATATTCACAATTTCACATTACATTATTATATGCGTTGCGACCCATTTATAGGTGCCAAGAATAGCGATTTAGCCCATTAAATAGTTTTAGTTTCAAATAGATCATAATTATTATTAAGATCACCACTTGCAGTAACTGTAGCCTACCAGTGGCAGTACCACCAAGCTGCACCAGCCAATAAACAGGCGAACAAATTTATTCTATATTTAAAAAACTGTGTAAAAAAAACAACCTAAGGAAACATTATTATTTCCTTGTGTGAAATTTAGAATAAGATACAGATAACATCATAATTTAACTACAAAGTCAATTTATGATTGATGAATTTGTCAATCATGACGGAGTCTGCTGTGTACGTACTACGTACGACGACACAGGAATAATATTGTATGGAAAACAATTGTCATTGATTAACATACTTTCTGTAATAAACAGATCCTAAATAACCTTCTCACAGGAAAATTTAGCAGGTTTAATACGATGTATCTTTAAAATTTTATACCTTACTATTATGAAATGGCTCATTATGCAGGAAACGCCGTCAAAACAACGTTATTTTTATCTGTCATAAAACCAAAACATTGCACATGGCTGAAAACAGATAGATGGCGCTGTGACATTACGTCACTTATATCTTGAATAACCAGACTCGCTTATACGATTATCCAGTAGAGTATATTTTGAAATGCGGTTATAAAAAAATAAATGTAAAGAAATGAAGTGGAATTTAACGCCCTACTTTTCTACACGGACTGTGCTATTGAAGACAACCTTACAGTGTGCAATGAGGGAAATTTTGCCCGGGCTTACTCTTATTTCGTATTCCAAAAGGTGTACACTGCACGTCACAAGACTTCGGTTTTCACCCATCCGAATGACTAGACACTGACTCAAGACTAGCCTTGTCAAAACCTCCGTCAATTGTCATGCAGTCATGCACTACCGCACCGGAAAATCCCAATTTTTAAGGAACTCTCTCTGATAACACCAGCTAGGAGCGAACCTGGGCCCTCTAAAATTTAAAATAGGCCTAGTTCATTTTTAAGTAGACCGAGCGGAATATCTCACCTGTAGTCCTACAAAGCACCCGGATTCGAAATGAAGTTAGCAAACAAATTAACTAAATTTCGCACCATTCCGGGAAGTTGCTGCAATAGAAATGCACGGTTTATGGTCGGTCTAGCATTATTAGAACCAAAATAACAGTCCCAGTTCGAAATCCGTGCCCAAATGGGTCAGTTTGGCAAAAATACAAAATGGCCGCCAGTTTTGACAGGAAAATCCCCATTGTTATCCAATTATCATAATATGATCGAGTTTTGTATCAAAAATATCCTTTCGGGGTAGCTTGATTCATTCCCATACACATTTTGGTGATTTGTTATACCGCGGAGTCAATATTGGGAAATAATTCCAGATGGCGGTCAGTTTTGGCGGGAAAATTCGAATTTTACAAAATGACCACATTTGGTGTCAAAATATACGTTTCGGAGACAGCTTAATTCCTTTTCGACACATTTTCTCATTTTGGCAATTAGCTGGTTCCCCTGGGTCAAAATATGTGGAAATCCCAGTGGTGATTTGGGAATTAAGAGTAGTCAAGTCTGCCTTAGATCTAATACAATACTATTTCATTCATAAAGCATCAACTAAATTTCATTTAGAATCTCTGGCCGACCACTGTTCATCGACAGAAGCAGCGTAGCAGACATGGCGAAGGGGTCCACTCTCAGCTCACTATGGACGCAGCGTCTTGGGCGTTTCCGATCACGATCACCAACCTCGAGCCAAGATGGCCAAACCTATTGAAGCACACAGCGAATTTGTTTCACAAAATGTTTCAAACGATGAGACACAGATGGAACCAGATATGCAGCTAGTGAACCATTTGATAATGAACTGCCCACTGTCATTCCGAAAATGACGGCAAGATAACGTGTATTGGAGGCCGTCAATAATGAACCGATTAAGATCCCTGGCTCAAGTTCAATAATGAACGGAGATAACAATTTCAGTGGCCGAAAACATGGAGTAAAGTCGTGACTATTAAGTTCGACAATGAGCCAAAGGCGTGCAAATGCCTCCGAATAAGGAGGCAAACCAAAGTTAGGGCACCTGAGAAAGGGGGGGGGGCAGGATCAGGAAAATTTGAGTTCTGTAGAATCAATTCAATCAATTTGACGTCTATGTGAGCCATGACATACTATAATTGACACTTGATTAAGTCCTAGGGTGGGCATTTCCTTGAGTATTAAGGCAAACTGGCTGTCGAAATTCGAGGGCACATTTTCGAAAGGGAGGACACATAGCCACCCCGCTCCCTCGCCTATGTACTGGTAGGAAATCTCACCGGATTCGAGCTTTATTTACCATTTCCAGTTGCTTTTGTTTTCGCATTTAAGAGGGCAGGGTAGGCGACTGACTACCTGCCCAGCACGCCTCCTCAATGAGACTTTTTGCGTAGATTACACAGAGTGATGAACAAATTCAATGAAAGAGGCTTTATAAATATGTTAGACGGGCATACGCCATACAGTATGCTATGAGGGAAATTGTGTCCGGGCAGCGGCACTATGGCCTACTCTTATATCGAATTCCAACTGCCAAGGGATCTTTTACGTGCATGCCAATGTATATACGGGACCTCAGTTTTTCGTCCCACCCGAACGATTAGACAGCTGTCCTTGTCAACCCTCCGTCGGAACCGTGCCAGGCATGCCAAATGTGGAACTCTTCACAGAAAAGTTCATTTCTTATGCAAATTACAGGTTTGAAAACAATTACTGCTGTGATTGATTTAGTTTGGACAGCCATTTTGACAGAACATGACAGAACTGTCAAAGTTCGCGAGAAAAAGGTCAAGGTTCATTTGGCGCATGCTCAGTAATCCGTACTGAGTACCGTTTTCAGACCGGATAGCGTTCACACTACGAAAAGTTAACCGTGTCCTGCCTGGCACCGTGCCGAGACCACCTCAGTGGACCAAATCGGCGTGGTACTCGGTTTGACCCGTTTACACTACACAAAAATTAAGGTAAGGATCTTCGACCCACTAAAATGAAATGAAATGAAATGAAATGTGGTTTTATGGTACGTCAGCTCCAACCGGGCTATATTGCGCCAAACATATGGTGAATATTACAAGACAGGCTAAATTATATCACAGAAAAACATTATATGCATAAATAAAAACAATATCACAGTTAGTAAAATTAAAAATAAAATACAACTTTTATGCATATAAATATTAAATACAAAAATGAAATGATATATATATATATATATACAATTAAAATTTATGATAAAATCCTGTCTCCTTTAAAAAGTCTAACACTTTACCATATAAACCCGGTTGGGCAAACATATGATGTAATGACTGACAACGGTAAAAATTTGATCTAATATCCTTGAAATGCTTGCACTCAATCAAAATGTGCTTAACTGTCAAAGGAACATGACAGTGTCGACCCACTAAAGCTAGTTAGAATATTGTGTGCGCAGTGAGCCTACCCTAACCCGATTCCCTCCTTCCTGCACCACTCACAAGGGGAAACCACGCCGGACAATCCCGATGAACACCAGGAGCGAACCAGCGAAACGTAGAGTGCAATTGTCCGGGGCGTACATAAAGATTTAGTTTGTGGGGGGGGGGGGGGAGTAGCAAAAATGCGACCGACTGATGCACGTCCTTAATATACGAGTGACGCAGTCAGGTGCCGAGCACCACAGATGATAGTTTTCTAGGGGCCAGTAGCTGATGTGGAAACTGGGAATAGGGGGTGTGGCGGTTCCAAATCTAGGGCGCCATCCACAATGAACGTCAACAAAATACTGGCTAAACACTGGGCGTCCTGGTAGAACAATCGTATCGCCTATATAGTTGTTCGTCGATCGTTATCTCGTCGGAAAGCAGTTTTATTCAAGTTGACATAAAGTTTATGTCATATAATATGATGATTGTTATTGATTTTGTAATTAAATGTATGTGAACCTTAAGGGCAGTGGCTATAACACTGAGCAACCTGAGAAAATTTTGAAAACTAGAACCAATATCCTGGCACTTGAGGCCATTGCTGGGAGCAAATTCTTGTGAAGAATGGGACATAATCTCGAAATCTGCCCCTGTCAATTCCGCCTGTTTTGCAAGAGTTGTCAGAACATTTATTTGTACAGTCTGACGCCCCACGAACAGTTTTTTGCGTAGATTACGTATCTGGGTGGTGATCGGGCGTTTGAGGGGGCGTTTTCGAGATATGGGGTGTCCAATGTCTATAATTGGGGGAAATGTCATTATGTTGATATAACTGATGATCATGTTATATATTACTAAAATATAAATTTCTAGGACAGCCCATCTCTAAAGAAGTGTATATGATGCCCCTGGACAACTGTTTTGATTTGTGGGGAGGTGGAGTGGGGTTAGCAGGTGTGCGTGCATTGGGGGGGGGGGGGTTAAATTGGCGGGAAATGAGTTCACGTTGATTTAAATGATGATTTTCTTTGAGCTTGGAAAAAAACATTACTTTTTAATTCCCATTGTATGGGACAGGGGGGGGGGGGGACACAATGTTATTTTGGGGACAGAAACCATTCGGTTCAAAATTGACCTGAAAAGTGTTTTCTCGTTAGCTTTTTCGTTCAATCTGATTAAAACACACAGATGCTATTTCGTTTCGTTTTTTAAAGTTGAAAATTTCGTTTTACTTGTCTTCACAACATTAAGAGTGTGAAATAGCTTTATTTAACGTCCGCTTCCACCGGACGTTAAATAAAGCTATTTCACACTCTGGAAGAGTTGTTATATAACAGGCGGTCTAGTTGATGTGAGCAATTAGCCAATGAAACTGTCTGTTACGGCGAGTTCTTGGCGTGCTCTGCATGGAACTGTGGGTAAACCCCTAGAAACGTCAACGCTAATTTAATTAATGAAAGTCTGACATCATAGGGTCAAAAGCCGCTCGTATAACCCATGACGTTCTCCCCCAGTACAACTAGTCAGATCTTCATGTAGTGTAGGCCATCGAAATTATAAAAACACGAAACGAAATATACATCTGTATTTTTAATCAGATTGCTTTTTCGTTCAGTACCAATTTCGTCATTCCAAATAATAATATTAAATTATAATGGCACTTTTCAAGAGATCTGGAAATGTACATAATTAGAGACATGTTTGGATATAAGTTTATTCTTAGTCTTCATCAGAAGATTCAAAATCAAAGTTCATAATATGAGTGGGATAGATACCTTCTTGATGGCTAATCAACAGCTCGCATATATCCTTTCGATATGCTTCAGATACCCATTCACATTGTTAATCTTCATTCCAGCCTTGTATCGCAGGGTCATCTTGTTCGATCATTGGTTTTGCAGCCTGTCTCCATATTGTTTAAACATAAATGTTGCGTTTAATGTGCAGCAAAAGACTAATCAGGCATGATGGTAATAAAGAAAGAAAGGTTTTTTTTTTTCATCACAATTAAAATTCCCCCATATCTCGAAAACGACCCCTCAAACGCCTGATCACCACCCAGATTAGTAATCGAGATATGGGGGGTCCAATGTCTACAATTGGGGGAAAATGTGGTTATGTTGACATAAATGATGATCATGTTATATAATTATA